GAGCTTTATTTGCTCTCCTCGCCAAGTCAAGTACGGACTTATTGAGATTCAGCGTATGGGTAAACAATATGCCAAGGTATTTATAATCATTCACAACATTCATACGTTTATTTTAAAAACCCATTTCTCTCTAGCCGACAAAGGACCACCTCTACGGAATATAACAATGTTTGTTTTATCTAGATTCACACTCAACTGCCATTTATCTGTATACGCTGAGAGTATATGTATTTGATTTTGAAGACCAATTACAAAGCTGGACATAAGAATGACATCAACAGCAAATAATAAAAAAGTTCGATTACATCGGGAGAAAGTTGGATGCCATGTTTACCAGACTTCATAATATCTACGCCGAAGACCCGGGTTCGAATCCCCACATGGGTACAATGTGTGAAGCCCATTTCTGGTGTCCCCCGCCGTAATGTTGCTGGAATATTGCTAAAAGCGGCGTAAAACCAAACTCAGTCAGTCAGTCAGTCATAATATCTAAATATAATGAAAAAGCAGACAAGAAAAGGACTTAAAATACATCCTTGACACAGACCGACAGGTCAATCGAAAAAGTCACTTACACCATAGCCACAGCGGACACATGACTTTACATTGGAATACATCGATCTTATGATACCATACATTTTACCTCTCAAACCTATATTTCTTAATCATTTCCACATTCTACCTCTATCTACAGAATCAAACGCCTTTTTGAAATCTACAAAAGCTACATACAACTTTCGCTTGCTAAAGGATAAATATCTCTCAATAATAGCACACAAGGTAAATATATGATCAAATGTTGAGTAGTCCTTTCTAAATTCTGCTTGAGATTCCGGTATTAAATCTCTCATATTCGACCATTGTGTTAACCTACTGTTGATAATAGATGTAAAAGTTTTACCTAGAATACTAGTCAGCGAAATACCCTATAGTTGTCAGGATTTTGTGCATTTACGTTTTTATATAACGGGATAATAATAGATTGCGCCCAGACGGAATGAAAACGACCTGCATCAAATACTCGATTGAACATTTTAACCAGGAAGGGCATACTGTCAGGTAATGAGTATTTCAGAATTTCTGAAATAACACCATCAACTCCAGCAGATTTACCAACTTTAAGACGAGACACAGCATCCAGTATATCATATTCCGTTATAGGTGATTCCAGCACAAGCCTATCAACATCATTAAACTCTTCACTTAGCACATCGTTGTCACAATCTGATAACCAATTGTCAACATCGTAAGCAATAACTTCCTTGGAAAAGAGATCCTTAAAATGACATAACCATTCCGTTTGCGATATATTGCGAAGAATTATCATTGATATGCAGCATCTGTCTCAATGATGCAGTAAAAAAGTCTACCTTCGATGCATCCCAGACAAATCTAAAGTAAGCGTCATGGTCATCACAATCTACAGTACGCTTAGCATGACTGCTTAAAGGAAACCTGCAAGATAACTCAAGGGGGAAATGGTCAGAGTCTAACCGATCACCAACATTTAGCATTTCTACAAACTCAAAAAAACTAACAGATGCAAGAAAGTAATCAACAACACTAAAACCCCTTTCTCATACATAAGTAAACTCGCCGCCTTTATCACCTTCAACTCTCCCATTCAATATATACAGACGACAAACATAACACAAATAAAAAAAATGCGTCCAAAACTATTAATAGTAGAGTCATGTGATGCCCGCTGCTCGACATCATCATTACCACGTCTACACTTTGCTCAAAGATTGGATTATTTTCATTAGCTGTGCGAGCATTTAAATCCCCACAAAGTAATACATGTGATGACGTGAAATCAGTCCAATGATCCACTATAAAAGCCTCAAGTCAATCAATAAGGCAACCTGAATTTTTATTTCTGTTGTAAAATGTAGAGCGGAACATATATACAGAACAACATGAAATAATTAATTAAACTAAATGTAGCTTTGGGAAATTTTAAACATATCAAATTGTCTATCTGTGTGTGATCAAGTAGTTCTGGGGGGCTATGATGGTGAATGTGTAATCCACTTTCCGATACCAACAGTGGGGGGTTGAATGGTGCAGTGGAGAGGGCTGATTCTTCGAAGGATGTCATAAATATTTCGGTGATGAGTGGCGACAGTGGGGATCCCATGGGCAGTCCATGTATTTTCTTGTAGATCTTGTCGGTGAAGGTGAAGTAAGAGGTGTCAAAGCAGCTGGAGGTGAGGCTGATGATGCTGTCTATTGTGAGTGTGGTGTCTAGGTCGTCAATTCTGGGTTGGAGCTTCTATCGGAGGATGCCTAGGGCTTCTTGTAGAGGGATGTTAGTGAAGAGATCGATGACGTCATAGCTGACCATGGTGCCTGTGTGGTTGGACTCCTTTAATAGATTGACAAATGTTGACGAGTCACTGATGTAGGATTAGCCATCTTTGCCTAAGGGAGCAGAGGCACCAGCAGCTCACCACCCAACCCCAGAGGATGTGTAAATCAAATGTTCTGCAATTGTGGTGACACATACATCCGCGAAACCCTCAGGCCCCTCAACACCAGACTCAAAGAACATCAAGCATCTGTCAACAAACTCGACCTCAAATTTGCTGTTTCTGAACACATCAACAAGAACCAGGACCACGCCACCAAAGTCCTATCTGTCAACAACAACAATTGGCGGCAAAGAAACTTGCAAGAGGCCATAGACATCAGAAGAAGCCAACCAGCAATCAACCGTGACCAGGGAACATATCTGCCTAGCGCTTGGGACTTATTAATCTAATTTAATCATCAAGTAATAATAATAATGAAGGGTAGTAGTATTAGGGAATGTGAATGGTCATACACATTTGGGACTTACTTTACCGATTGAATTTCATATTTTGACTTAAAACCATACGTTCAAAATTGTTTCAGGTGAACAAATGACTATCCTTAGCATATGTTTATGACGAGTGCCACCGGTGGGGCAGGATACGCTCACCTTTTCGCGAACACCTGGTATCATCGCTATTTCATAGTGATTCAAAAACAAATGCTCTGCCATCGTATCGCATGGTGACAATCACTGAATTGTCTGGTTCAGACCCGATTTGTTTACAAACAACATCATACAGCTGTAATACTGCTGAAAGAAATATCTGCTCATGATATAGTCACAATTATACAGTAGACTCTGCTTTAGGCAGATATTTCTTATAAATGTGGAAAGGGTTTTGTCGGTTCTATTTACAGCATGATTGTTCCTGGACTGATCCTGTTAATTGTATCTCTAAAACGGTTGCACCCATGGTAAACTGTATCGAAGTATATTCTTACTCCTTCATCAGGTGAATGAAACAATTAGGAACAAACAGCAATATATGTACATGTTAAAACAACAACAGTTATGAGATAACAAGGGAAACCAGTAGTTAATTGGTAGATGGACAAGTGGAAGCCAGGGATTGCTAATCCAGGCATGTTTAAGATAACAAAGGTGTTTCCTGGCTTTGGTACAGGGATAAATCTACAGAATGTATCCGAGCCACTGGTACACATTCAGACACAGTTTAAAACACTCGCAAAAGAAGAATCAGGATATGCACATAACATAAATTATCCGCTCAGTGTTGTGAGCTTTGAAAGTTACCAGCTTAAGCACATCATAAGTAAATGAACCTGAAGTAAGATCATCCATAGCTACTTAAATATTCATAGGGTTCTTTGACGTTTTGAATCCTTGAAGAGAATTTTCAGAACTGCTTCCATTATAAAACTGTTCTACCAACCTGTCAGCCTTCTGACTGTTCATCACTATGTTGCTAGTTATACCCATAGCTGGAATAGAAGGACTGTTAGTTTTTTAAGAAAAGCCTGCATAAGAGCAATACGATTGGTTTTCAATGATGCTGTCGTGACTTCGATGTTGACAATCAGAATTGAACCTCTTGAACAAATTTAGGAGTCATAGTTGTGAAATTAGGCAGGCAATATGTCAGTTTCCTTGGCCAACCAGATCTCAGGAGAGGACGTTTACAGTACAAGCTGACCATGATGTAATACGAGGTGGAATATGAACCAAGAATAACATGAACGAGGTTGACTGAGTAAGTCTGGGTTTACATCCCTTTTAGCACTATTCCAGCGGGGGACTCCACAAATGGGCCTCACACGTTGTATCTATATGGGAAACCCGGGCCTTCAGCTTGACAAGCGAACGCTTCAACCACTCGTCTACCCGAATTATCCTTATAGCATCGCGAAGTTTGGCTCTTACTCAATCTCACACTATCTGACGCTCATTACATTCCCATACTCCACTAATTCACTCTCATTCCATGTGCACTCTCAACCATCCTGCTCTCTGTACACACACTTTCACTCTATCAACTGACCTGTGTCTTATGACAATCCATTCGGAAGTGCACAAAAATAATTATAAAGCCTGTTACTTTTGCTTTTAGATCACTTGTTGTGCATTAAGTTCCCATATTTTCTTTGTAAATTACGAGATGGGATAATATATTCTCTTAAACCAACAATACTCACTTGCTCGCTCACATACATACAACAAAAAGAGAAGCACTTAAAAGATGTCATAAAAGAGATGGTGATCATTGGCAGAAAGACCCATTGTCCATGGCAATATTTGAGTTGAAGAAAATTCACACATAAATATATCATAAACACATCAGCCGATAAGTAGAAAATATATTTCGAGATCATTATTAGTTGGAAGATAAAAGTTCATTTAAATTTTATAATAAATGCACACGTGGACTGATTAAACATTTGCATGAACATGATTAGTTTTATAAAACATCGGTTTAAAACGTCAGCCATTCCAGTATGAAGTATTGGTCTGCATTGATGCTTTCATGATCAAGTGTAATTGATGAACTATACATTATAGCACAGGGATCATGTTCTTGGTGCGAGTGTGCATTCTGCTGTCCTCGGTGAATACTATAGCACTGGGGAAATATTGCAACATAAAAAACGTCGTCATAGACGTTTACAGGGAAGAAACCTTTACAATGGTTGGTTTGAAAATGTGCAGTCTCAAATGTGCAGCCAGAGGCTACTGTTGGAGCATCGGATATGATGTGGTCAGCCTCATGTGTCATGTCCTGAAGCTGAAACTGGACCATAGAGAAGAATGTGGACATATAACTTTCATACCAAAGCCAAACACAAGTGTAAGTGGCTTTGATGTTCTGTCGTGCCAAAGAAAGGAAGTCAGTATCACAACGTCTATTATGCCCTCTATTACGTTTGTCTTCAGATTCAAGCTGGCCCCTGTTCATCTGAGACATGTCAACATAGGAGATGCCTGGAAACCCGTTCTGGAAGAGATGTATGTGTCAAAGGTAATTAATGAATTACTATCCTCCAAGAACGTATGTAATAAATATACACTTAATAAATATACACTTGTATAACGCTTGTTTCCACTATAATCAACTGCTCAAAAGCGCTTGTGAGCAATGAACTGTCCTAGGAATACACAGTCTAACAGTAGCAGACTTTAAACAAATGTGTTTTCAGTAGTGATTTGAATGATTCAAACTCAAGGGCACTTCTTATTTCAAGTGGGAGGGAGTTCCATAACTGGGGGGGCTGAGATTTCGAAACTTCTCTCGCCAAGTGATGTACGAGCTGACGGAAGCTTCAAGAGACACTGGTTACAGGAACGTAGAGTTCTCTCAGGTTTATATTCTTGGATGAGTTCAGAAATGTACGGAGGTGGATAGCACGGAATGTCAGAGTCAGCACTTTAAACTTAATTCTGTAATACTAGTTCTACTCTAAGCTTGCCTTTGTTCAATATTGTCATTCGTTTTTTTGTTCAATATCTTCAATGCTCTTCACATAGTTTTGAATCTGTGATCAGGTACTAGTTATATACAGTCAAATCCCGATGAGTCGAATGCCGGTGTCTCGAATATTATGCATAACTCGAAGTACCTGTCGGTCCCGACCATTCCCTGTTATAGTTGTCATCATTTGAATACCGGTTACACGAATTCGTCTCATAAATACACACGATGACTCAAGAAGAAAATTTGGTCCCATGAGATTCAAACAACAGCAATATTGTATACATAAGCCGAAGTCAGTCAATGAGAAGTTGATTGGTGTAGCAAACTGATCCAATTAACAAACAAGCGCGGCTCACACCTTTCCGCCATTGACGGGTGAGTTCAAAAGGCAGATTAGTGATTTTACTGAAATAACTGTCTGTGCTAATCAGACTGGAACTGATAAGGTGCCCCTATTAGTGATAGGGAAATCATTAGATAAACACATGCTTAGGCGGAGGAATTAGGACTGGATCATCTTTTTTTCTACCCTCATAGACATACCTATGTCTCGAATACATCGATAAGTCGAATTTATTACTTGGTCCCCAGAGATTCGACTCATCGGGATTTGACTGTAGTTTCAGCACATCACAATTGAAGGGTTTGGTTGTTGTTAAATGCCGCACTCAGCAATATTTCAGCTATATGACGGCGGTTGGTAAATAAACGAGTCTGAACCAGACAATCCAGTGATCAACATCATGAGCATCAATCTACGCTATTGGGATACGATGACGTGTCAACCAAGTCAGCGAGCCTGACCACCGATCCCGCTAGTCGTCTCTCACGACAAGCATGGGCTGCTGAAGATCAGTTCTAAACCAGATCGTCACGGGTACACAACTGAAGGGAGAAACAACTGTATACATGTTTGGTTCATTAAATGCAGAGGTACTTAACTCGTTCATTTCCTATCTGACTGGCAAGTTCTAGTCTGATTTAGTGAGAGCGGAAATACCATCAGGAAGATCTGACCTGGTGGTTTTGCTTTATGCCTAAATTACTGTCTTTGTTTCTTTAGTGTATTGGCAATCTATAGCCTGTTTTATATTGTATTGTCATTTATAGTTTAAATCTTTTAGATTTAAAAACTAGTCTTAAATTTATTCTTGTGATAATCTAGTTGTTTTACTGCCCTTTGCAGGCAGGTAAGTATATGATATAAGTTTGTTTTTTATTCATTTAAAATTTACTGACTGAATGACTGACTGACTGAGTTTGGTTTTACGCCGCTTTTAGCAATATTCCAGCAACATCACGGCGGGGACACCAGAAATGGGCTTCACACATTGTACCCATGTGGGGATTCGAACCTGGGTCTTCGGCGTGACGAGCCAACGCTTTAACCATTAGGCTACCCCACCGCCCCTTTAAAATTTACAAATTACTTAGTCACGATATGGCTGAAATACTGCCGATGTGACTTTAAATTCTAACTTTTGTGTAAGTATTGGAGTGTATGCTAAACAATCATGTGTTTCGCTTCAGGACTGGGTGAAATGACATGCGAAGAGGATAAGTCATCGCAAATCCCGTCGACTATCCATCCACCTTATCAAAACGGTGAAGAAATTTATTTCCATAGTATGAAATATGTTACCAATGAGATAAATATGCTAATGAGGAGGAACTCTTTATATCATTTGGCGCACATAATATATTTCCCAACGCCCTAAATCACTTTATTGTTTGCTTTCTTGATGTAAGCATAATTTTCTACAACAGAGGCTGAAAATCATCCGATAGTAGACAATACAGGAACAATAATACCAATTTACTAATGAGAACATTTGCCTACTCTTTATATTTATGAATGCGTTGGTTAAAAAGTTCTAAAATTTCTATTGATTAATAAATGACAATAAAGGACAAGTGGCATATTTCCCTCATGCTTTTATGGTGTGTGCGTAAGGCATTAGCAATGAAAGTATTGTAACTGCCATTATAACTGAATTGTACTTGTAAATGCTAACATACCGCATGTTTATTGTCAAAACCAGACATGAATCAATGTAAAGTTAAAACTAAGACTGTCATATAAATTTAATGTTTGTGTGTATTCCAGAATGTCCTCTTTGAGACTAGGACAAAAATATGTCATTTGTTGATCATTGGCAGGTTTGGCTCGACATATTGAGTTCCTTAAACAAAAATCTAAGCGTGTGGTATTTTCAGTTAATCTCAGAATGACTTAACGCATTTATATATTTCCTACAGGAAAGATTACCAACCAACGATACCAAATCCATTTAAACACCAAACTTGTTCATGCCTGTGTCGATGGCAACATAAACCGAGTCAAATGCATCTTATTTGATGGTCGTGCGGAAATCAACGTCCGAGGTCCACAAAGAAAGACGCCGGTGATGATTGCAGCAGAGAAAGCACACATTGATATGTTCGGCTTCCTTGTAAGAAAAGGTGCTGATCTGTCTGTTGTCGATGCTGAGAGCAATACGGTTCTACATCTTGCCTGTGAGGGAGGAAACCTGGATATAATAGAGACTGTCCTTGTGCAGGACACTGTGGACATCAACAGTCTTGGAGGGCAAGACAGGACGCCAGCAATGAAAGCAGCACTCAAAGGACATAAGCATGTGTTTGACCTACTTGTGAGGAAAGGTGCTGATCTGTCCCACGTGGATTTTCTTCACAATACGATTCTACATTTGGCCTGTGAAGGAGGAAACTTGGATATCGTGAAACACATTCTTACACAGAACACTGTGAACATCAACAGCTTGGGAGAAAATGACTGGACGCCAGCAATGAAAGCAGCCATCAAAGGACATAAAGATGTATTCGACTTGATAGTCAAAGAAGGAGCTGATCTGTCTCTGGTGGACAAAGAAGGTGACAGTATTCTTCACGCAGCTTGTGAGGGAGGAAATGTGGAAATAGTAACTTATATGCTCAAACAGAGTAGTGTTGATATTAACCTAAGAGGGAACACATGTTCACGCCAGTGATGGTGGCTGCATATAAGGGTCATAAAGACGTATTTAACGTGCTTGCAGAGGGGGAAATGCTGATTTGTTAATCAGGGACAGAAACCAGAACAGCATCCTTCATCGTGCGTGTAAAGGAGGAAATATGGAAATAATTAAATCCATTCTCACGAACTACAGTATGGATGTCAACGACATTGGTTTTGAAGGATTGACACCCGTAATGTTAGCAGCCTCTGAGGGACGAAAGGATATGTTCGACTTACTTCTGCAAAATGGAGCTGATTTGACACAGGAGGATGACAACAGATACAATATTCTTCACATGGCCTGTCAGGGAGGGAATATGGATCTAGTTAAGTATGTCCTTGCCCAGAATATCGTGAAAATCAACAGTCGATCAGATGATGGATCGTCCCCAGCAATGGAAGCAGCATATGCGCGCCATGCAGAAGTGCTGAAATTGCTTGTAAGTGAAGGAGCTGATCTGACATTTGTCAATAGTGAGAAGAAAAATATTCTCTGTGCTGCTGTAGAGGGCAAACATATGGATACAGTGAAATATGTCCTCTCAAATGATTTTGTAGAGATCGAAAGTAGGAACATCGAGGGGATGACAGCAGTTATGTTAGCAGCAGAGGAGGGACTGGTAGAAATATTTGACTTACTTGTGAGGAAAGGAGCCAATCTGTCATTAGTGAATGATGATAAACAGAACATACTACATATGGCCTGTGAAGAGGGGCATAGCGAACTAGTGAAACATATCCTCACAGAGAATGCTGTGAACATCAATGACAGAGAATATGAAGGTATGACACCAGTGTTATTGGCGGCAGAGCACGGATACCGAGATATAACTGAACTGCTGGAGAGTAAAGGAGCTGATCTGTCAGTAGTGGATGATAGCGGTGAGAACATTCTACATAAGCTCAGTGTGAGTGGACAAGTGGATTTAGTGAATCATGTCTTGACACAGAAGAGCGTTGAGCAGAACATCAATAGAAAATCTACGAGAGGCAGGACACCAGTAATGACTGCAGCACGTTGTGGTAACAAGAAAGTGTTTGATATACTTGTGAAGAACAGTGCTGATCTGACGCTAGTAGATGCCGAGGGCAACTCCATCCTCCATTTGGCCTGTGAAGGCGCCGTGGACATTGTGAAGTACCTCCTGTCCAATAACATTGTAAACATCAACGCTAGAGGACATTTGAACAGGACACCAGTCCTGATCGCAGCAGTACGTGGAAACAGAGGAACGTTTGAGCTACTTATGAAGCAGGGAGCCGATATGCTTCTTGTAGATGATGATGGCAACAATATCCTTCATTTGGCTGTTAGGGGAGAACATGTTGATCTTGTTAAACATATCCTTGAAAATAGGATAGTAGATATTACCGCACAAAATAATCATGGATTGAATGCAATGGAGATAGCAAAGGAAAACAGTCCTAAATCCGTGTATAATTTTCTGTTGTCTCAAGGTTTTGGCTTGAAGTAACTATATCCATTCATCAAATGTTGGCTGTTAATAAAATTAGTCAATCTCTACGCTTTATTTTAGTTTAAATAGTTCAAACAGTACTAACATGGAAATGTATTAAAAAAATCGTCATTGATACGTACAAGTTAATGACCTCTTGGATTACTGTCCTGTGTTCACACATTATATATTTGAAAAGTTGAAACTTCATTACACAGAATAAAGAAGTTGCAATTCATTAAACACATCTTGATCTATCAGTGTTTCTATCAGTGAATAACCTGCTTGCCTTTGCATGTGTTTGTGATGTGTGCGAGCGTTGGGGAAGCACACACCCGTCTTTTTGCGAGCACCTGGTATCATCACTATTTGATAGTTATTCATAAACATGAGGTCGGAATCGGAATCGTACAAGTGAGTGAGTATGGTTTTACGCCATTTTAGCAATATTCCAGTAACACCACGGCGAGGGTCACCAGAAATGGGCTTCACACATTTTACCCATATGAGGAATCGAACCCGGGGCCTTCGGCGTGACGAACGAACGCTCTAATGAATAGGCTGCCCCACCGCCAATGGAATCGTACAAGTCACTTCGATTAATCCCCCAAACACATGTGTCATGACAGTACAGTCGATGAGATTTCTTAGTTGGTCACTTTCATTCCCAAACAGAAACAAGTTAGTCGAAAAAATAATTGCCTTCTCCTCCGGGTTATACGTTCATGAGGAACGAGAAAACGCAATAGTGAGTGAGTGTTTTACGAAGCACTCCTCGCTGCCATTGAGCACCAACAGGTAACAAAGAGGTACATGACCAATAGGTGTGTACAAGGTTGATTGGTTGACTGATTGTTGTTTAACGCCGCACTCAGCAATATTCAGTTATATGGCGGCGGTCTGAGAGTAATCGAGTCAACACCATGAGCATCGATCTGCCCAATTGGGATACGATGACGTGCGTCAACCAGGCCTGACCACGCAATCCCGTTAGTCGCCTCTTACGACAAGCATGGGTTACTGAAGATTAATTCTAGCCTGGATCTTCACGGGTCGTACATCCATGGAAATAAGTCTCTAGTCTTTACATGTCATGCGTAATGGAATCGAATAAAACAGCATCAAATTATCTCGTATTGGACTGTTAATGTAACTCCGACAATGGTTGGGAAGCTGGTCTAAGTTTGGGAAACATCCATGTATCCATAGCAACCAGTTCCCAGCCAATCTCGAGCTGGATCAGGATATTTCAAAGTCATAAGATAATTAACGTACTTTGTATTGACGAACAACGTTTGTTGAAGCATATCTGGAGATCAAAACTGACGCAATAACGAGTGGGTATGCTTGATATAACGGCTTTTATGGAGGATATCCAGGCATGCCAGCTGAATGCGGGATAAATCCCTATGTTACTGATGTGGATAAATCAACGATCACGGATCCAGGACCTACAAACACAATCATGGCGAACGGGATTCGAACCCGTTAGTGAGTAAGTTTAGTTTTACGCCGCACTCAGCAATATTCAAGCTATATGGCGGGATGAGTGAGCTAAGATTTTAAGTCACGTCGGCAATATTTCAGCCATATCGTGACTAAAACAAGTTATAGATTTATAATGATTGAAAAATAAATTATAAACACCTGTCAACGAAGGACAGTAAAACAACTATCACAGATTATGACAGATATATATTTAAAACTAGTAATTAAATCTATAACAGTTTAACTATAGAGGACGATACAATATAAAAACAGGCTATAAATTGCCAACAACTGAAGGTAGATCACCATACTAGGGACCATGGGGACTTATAGCACCTTTGCTACCCTAGTTATTTACACCATCCCTTCAGCCGCTGGCGATTTTAGGAAAATGTAGCCAAAATTAAAAGAACATATATACTACGATGGCAAAATTATTACAGTCAAGCAGGACATGCTTGACCGTGATTCAAATCTGGACTGACAACCCAAGTAGGTGTAACCGATAGTTGGTTTTATTTCATGTAATTTATTTATACCAAGTTGGGTGTCCCACTTCTTTTGCATTAGATCACGGATGTAGGATCTAATGACAGCTTTGTAATCAGACTATGGGATGAGAAGTGGTGTCACAGATTTGTTGAGCGCTGCCTTAGCAGCAAAATCGGCCACTGTGTTACCAAAAATTCCAAAATGGCTTGGTAAGCAACAGAGGACTATGTCATATTGGCCAGTAGCAATTATTTCAATTAAAAGATCATTATACAATTCAATAATTTCTATTGAAAGAGGATGTTTACAAGAAAGATTTTGAATGGCCTGAAAGCAAGAGAGTCTGAAAATATTATATCCTTGGACCCATCTGTAAATAAGGATTTGTATGTATTATATTTACTTTTCAATTGATTAAATTCTTGTTCATATTGTAATTAATTAGTTTCAGATTTTTTAAATGGTGTCAAATCAATTGCCAAGGAGAAGAAAGAAGGCGGGAGGGAGCAATATTTTCCAGCTCAGTGCCGGCAGCAGTAATGAATGGTTTAATTCTTAGTCCAAGATGCGGAACAAGAGAAGACTTTCTGTTGTACAAATCCTCATAAAAAGGATTGAAGACAGAGTTAAATGCAGGATTAGACTCGTTAGACTGTAGTTTTGTAATATATTGCAAAGCTAATTTGATACGGCGTTGATTAAGTGATGGGCCATCAGCTTCGACGTAGAGACTGTCAAAACGAGAAGTTCTGAAAGACCCAAGACAAAGTCTTAGGCCTGTCTGTGGTGGACAGAGTCGAGTTACTTAAGGTTGCTTTTGCAGGCTCTACCATATACGATGGAGCCGTAATCAAATTTGGACCGGACCAATGATCTATATAGGCGTAGGAGGGTAGTTTGATCTCTCCCCACTTTGAATTAGAAACTACTTTCATTGAATCGAGTGCCTTCAGGAATCTTTTTAAAGATATTTGATATCCGGAAGAAAAGTTAAATGGAAATCGAAAATTAGACCCAAGAGCTTTGCATCCTTGAAAACTTTGATGAGATTGCCATTTATAAATAGTTCTGGGTATTTATGCGGTTTGTGTTTACGGCATAAAAATGTATATAATTAGTTTTTGATTGAGAAAATTTAAAGCCGTTTTCTAGACACCATTTATTTATTTTATTTAAATACAACTGCTGTTGCCGTTCAATAGTATGCATATATTTACTGCGACAGGAAATATTTAAATCATCCACAAAAAGTGATCCATCGATTGAATCATTTAAAACCTTGGATAAACTATTGATCTTGATACTAAATAAAGTGACAGACAAAAATACTGCCTTGTGGGAGACTATGATCCTGATTGTAATGGTCAGACAGGGTTGAAACCCACTCGGACTTGAAATTGGCTGTCGGTTAAAACCTGTGAAATAAAAAGAGGTAAACGACCCCTCCAGGTGGTATCGTATGCCTTCTCGAGATCAAAGAATATCGATGCAGCATGTTGTTTATTTACTATAGCCTTTTTAACAAAGGATTCTAAACGTACCAAATGATCAATGGTAGTACGGTTTTTCCTGAAACCACTTTGAATTTTTGTTATAAGTTTATGGGTTAATCTATTGTTTACCATTCGTTACATGGTTTTACAGACACAACTCGTTAAAGAGATAATTGGTCTGTAATTAGATGGATCAGTATGATCCTGGCCAGGCTTTGGAATAGGGACAGCAATGGCATTACGCTACGAAGTCCATATTTGATAAAAATTTCGTGACCATTGTCTGAGTTGAAATTTATTCTTTTCTTCTCCTGTTGTTTATGATACTTTTAAAATTGGACGACGATGAATGTTTGGCAAGAGTTTCGCCAATTTTATTTGCTATGTCGGTTTTATTAGTTATAAAACATTAGAACATTAGATTTTGAATCTTTGCCTTTTATTCTTTGGATCATGTTCCAAACCTTTGACATCATTTTGCGGGAATATATTTTGGAAACATACTTCCTCCAAGACTGACGCTTATTCTGTTTAAATTAGCGTCGAGCCTTGGCATTTAAAATTTTAACTTTGTCCAAATTATGGACTGTATGATGTTTGCGAAAATACTTTTCCGCTTTCTTCTTGCACTTTCTGGCCTGTTTACATTCATTATTAAACAATGGTTTACGAATGTGTGGAGTTGCAGCAATGTCGTTTAAAATATCCGAAAACGGCAGTATAGGATCTTCACTGTTCCTGCAAAGGTCATGCTTTAAGCGTTCAACACACAGAGTCTCATATAATGATCAATCAGCCCTGGCGAAGTTCCTTCTTGAGGATGGTGGATCATCACCAGGGTTGATTGTTTTAAGAATGGTCGGGAAGTGATCACTCCCTCGTAGGTCATCATGGACCAACCATTCAAATTCATTACATAAACTGGAATCGGCAAGTGATACATCCAGGGAAGAATATGTTCTCGTAGCTGGATGTAGATAAGTAGCTGAATCATCATTAAATATATGTAACGGCGGTGGCTCTTTCTCAACAACACAACTCTGTTGAGGCTGTAGTTCAGGGCTACAAGTCAGAAACAATGTGTATGAATAAATAATTCTCCATCAAATATCTATTCCATCACATTCATTTCATTGCACATAGTTAAGATAATTAATAATTACAGTCCTACCACTGAACATATAAAAAGAAATCAAAACAAATGGACATCACAAAATTATTATTTCATTTACATATTGAGATCCTTACGAGTTGTGGAACACATATGACATCTTCAAAACAACAATGAACTATCAGCGTGTCTTACCATCTATGGGACAACTTGTTACAAACTGGCTACATGTTGTGAGGCATTAACAAAACACCAACCAAGGACCTAAAATATGTATGCCTTAATTAACATGGAAATGCTAATCCTCATCAGTACAGTAAACGTAGAATCTGTTTGGACTCAAACATTAATCTGAATCCGTTGTAAGTGAAATTATTGACACCAACAACTTCTAACCACAGGCCAAACATACCTCCACCAAATACGTAAATTCAGTTACAATAAATACTGAATTAACCTTTCAACAATTTAACATATTTCGGTATTTTATTCCTTTTATATAACACCAAAGGTAACTAACCTGTAATTCACCAAAGTCACAATCCTCCATCCATGACTTTCAAACCACCATGCCAGGTTGGGAGAAAGACAAGTTCACACTTTGCAAATGCAACTAAATTCAAGATCCAATCAAGCTGCTGCACATCTTCAGCCAATGAAAACCATGGACAAGACACGAGACCTGACCTCCTTAATATTGGGCTAATTTGCACAGGAACTACTGCTGACCCATGACCCAGTGATGACTGTAAATAAATCATGGACTGCCATTTGTTTTTTTTTAAAGTGTTATGTTTAAAGTGTTATGAATTGATTCAAAATAGGAACGTAAGACAAGACATATTAAAACATGTTGCATGAAAATCCTATGTTAGTAATTGAATCTTGTTGAAATTATTTTTGAGTCTTCTGCAATTCCATTGTATTATAGTGGACAATTGAGTCATGGTGGCTCAATGTGTGATCTTTCGCGTGAATGTGAGGAGGTTAAGCATCCCAGTGTGTCCTGAGATGACGGTGTAACCCTCATGTCTAGAGGTTCAAAAGGGTTCTCGAGGGGAACCTCTAAAGGTGCAGGGACGGTTGTTATTTGTTGGGCAACTGACCAGTGTTAGACTGTTTATCAGACGCTTGTGATGTCGTCTCTGGCTGAGTTTCAGTCTGAGAGCCTGATGAAGACTGAGAGGCAGATGAAGACTGAGTGGCTCGGGATGGCGATTGTAAGACTGAAGCAGAAGTCATGGGTTTTTCTGAGTTGACCCATGTCAGATCTGTTTGACAGGTAACAGAGGATGTCAGTACACACCGAGTTGGATGAAGAATCATGTGGAACAGAACAGTTTGCTAATTTAAACTCGTTGTCACAGTCTATGTTTTCATGACTGCCACCACGGCAATGACACACCACAGAGCCACAAGAGTTCGACCCATGACCAAATTTCTGGCATTTATAACATCGGAGTGGACTGGGGACATGCACGTCCACTCCGTATTAAAGTATCCTCCTTTACTTGACTGTGGTTTAAATGCACGGGCAAACGTCAAGAGATAAGTATTGGTTTTCACAATGGTATCCTCTCTCTTGACGGTGAATCGTTTCACAGGGGTTACACCCTGATCTACAAGCTCTGCAGCAATATCCTCTGACATGTCGAACAGGCAGCGAGCTCTGACGCGAATGATTCCTCGACATGAAGTTAATGTTCTGTGCACACACAGCAACCTCAATATTGGCAAATGTTTTGATAGACCAAAGATTTAGAGATTGCTTTCTCCGTGCACATTCCACCAGAAGTGAACCACTACGGAGACGGGTGACGTTCTTAACATCTTCACAATTTCCAGAAACAGCCTTTGATATCGCAAAAGGATTTAGTTTTATAGGAAGAAAATCAGTTGCCTCAATCACAAGGAAACTAGCCCATGAGTCAGAATTCGAAGAAAAAGATTTGGTAGAGTCATCAACATTTATTTTCGAAACGTCGCTTCTTTTCGTTTTGCAATGAACCAGATGGATTGGGATCCATTGTAAGAGTAAATAGGTTCAGCGCCCCTGCTCCCCACCCGCCATGGAGTGTTAACAAGGACGGATCTCCGAGATGCTGACACCAGGGATACAGAGGTGTTAAACTCCAGAGATACAGACATGAAAAGCTATGATAAACCAAAAGAATAAATGTCAGGCTGGTTCAGCCCATGACATTATTCCAAAGAATCACAGATTTCAGCGGTCTAATACCACCAGATTGGCCCATGAACCACCGCCTTCTGGCATAGGATTCTAGGCAAGTTAAAGTAATAAAAAGGTTATACACTGTAGATCCAAAAAAACAAGACCCAATGATAATATTATAATGTGCAAATATTGACACCACAATCCCGTCCTCCACCGACACAAGGGCGCAACCAACGGCAAACAGGTTGCCCAATTTCGGTCTCACAACCAGCAATGGGGTGCTGTGGACCAATATGAAGAACCAATTGAAGAGCCATTAGCGTTACCTAGCACCCACCACGAGGAGGTTGCTCTTCAGGGATGCCTCGAACCCGTGATGCTATACCTAAGGGACGCAACTCTGCAGAGTGAATTTTGAAGGATATTTCAAAGTCATGATACTTAACTCACTTTGTATTGATGAACAACGTTTGTTGATGCATATCCTATGACTCATGTATACGCAAGCTCAACAGATCTAGAGCAACCGTAGCTATTGAGTTGAAAGTTTAGAGGCGTCAAACAGCTATATATAGTGGGGAGTCAGAGTTCTGAATGTAACAGTAGGTCCCATATCAAATACGTCATTATCGAATAACCGTTATGTATGTTATGTGTATGATATTTGCACAATTTACTCTTTGTTTGTTTACCCGTGAAGGTCCGAGTTAGAATGTACCTTAAGTTACCAACGCTTGTCGTAAGAGGTCACTAACGGGATCTGGTGGTCATGCTCGCTGACTTGGTTGACACATGTCATCGGTTCCCAATTGCGCAGATCGATGCTCATGTTGTTGATCATTGGATTGTCTGGTCCTGACTCGAATATTTACAGACTGCCGCCATATAGCTTGAATATTGCTGAGTGCAGCGTAAAACTAAACTCACTCACTCACTCACTTTGTTTGTTTGCTGCTTAACGCCACACTCAGCAATATTCGAGCATTATGGCGGCAGTCTGTAAATGATCAAATCTTGACCAGACAATCCAGTGATTGTCACCATGCGATGCGCCAGTAAGGATCAACATTCCAACAGCCAAACTTGGATTGTCAGCATTTTTCTTGCACACTCATGTCTGCAGGTGGTCTTGTGTTATTGTGTTGTCGTGACTGTGTTGTATTGGAGAAGTGTTGTATTGTGACAGTGTTGTAGTTGTGTTGTAAGTGCTATTGTGTTATTGTCGTGACTGTGTTGCATCGGAGAAGTGTTGTATTGTGACAGCGTCGTAGTCGTGTTGTAATACGTCATGGTTGGTTGTGTTATTTGTGGTAGCCATGTTTGAAGACACATACAGACTTTACAGGTCCAAATTTCTGGATTAAAAAAACACCCACCTCTCTCCCATAAATCAACAACATAAGCGAGGAGGTGATTTTGACAATTTAATACTTTCCTAGTATTTTAGTTCCTATAATCTGAAACTGTCTGTGTTCCACGTTAGATCCGACAGACATCTGCTGATTGGGCTGCTGACCTCCAATATAGATGTCCATCATACCTGAATCGACAAAATACGTGTCACCGCCAGGATTGTGTGGACAAACGTGATAAATCTCTGGTAAAAAACTAACAATAACCATAAAATTCATGTTCTTACAGAGGCCTGTTTTGAGTGAGTGAATAGGTTTAGTTTTCCGCCGCTTTCAGCAATATACTGGCAACATCACGGCTGGGGACACCAAAAAAGGGCTTCACACATTGTACCCATGTGGGGAATCGAACCCGGCGTGACGAACGAACGCTTTAACCACTGAGCTACCCAACCGTCCCGAAGCGTTTTTGAACCTCTTCGACTAATTTAAAATCTTGACAATTCCGTGAACAATATTATGAACAATATTTATTAAAGATCATGCAAAATTATTGTTCAATTGATGTCTAGTGTCAACCCATATACAAGGTTGGTGGTTAGCCAGTGCTGACATCATGACGTCATAATGTATGATGTGACGTTTTTGCTTCTTATGTCCCACTTACAAAAAGTCATCGGTCGATTTACTGGGAAATTTGATACAATGCATGACGATACATCTTATTCACCTGGCAGACAAACCCAGCAGACCCCATCGCCCCTCGTTTCATATCAGAAATCACAGATGTGGGTGTTTGTTCAATTAAAAACACCAGCAACATAATACATTAAAGTAATGTATCAAGAGGGAGAATTCTTTTCTATTTTGGGGCTTTAGGGTAGCTAAATGGTGAAAGCTCGGCACGCCGAAGACCCGGGTTCGATTCCCCTCATGGGTACAACGTGTGAAGCCCATTTCTGGTGTGCCCCGCCGTGATATTTCTGGAATATTGCTAAAAGCGGCGTAAATTGATACTCACTCACGTTATCCGACTTACCCGGAAGTACCGCCCACCCATCGTAATCAGTCCACACGGCCATGTTCCTGGGGTCCAGTGTAAACTCGTAAACTGCAGACCTACCGGACGCGATGGTTGTCCTGGTGAACGATACCAGCTGAATTCTGGGTACAGGAAGTGACGTATTTTGCCACGACATATAGGCCTGGGTGACCTGGAAAGCCAACATGATTTATGGATGGGGACAACCAAGTTTTATGATCTATGGCAACGTCGTGGACATACTTACGGCATACAACATCATCGCTTAAGTCACGTGACTCCAACTGACTTACATCCGATGTTTACTCAGTTGCTGGTTTGTTCAAAACATAAAGTTACCTTGGAAACATACCACCAAGTAACAGGCTGATACCTGCAAATGGGTTTTCCAACACGTACATAAAAGTTCTCACGGTGACCACGATGGGAAAGCATGAGTTTTTCTGACCCGTATGATCCTTTGGCTCATAAAAAACGACAAAATGATAGAAATATATGTTGATTTTATGATGATTATTGCTCATATTTTTTAAAAACACACTGATTTTCATACAAAACCATGTCTGTACTAGTATGGTCCTGGAATGTTTAATGTTGAATTTACTGGTGAATGTGAACATTCAAAATGTCATTTTGCGTGTCTAACACGATTCAAGGTCAATACAGAGTGTAGCCTCCATGTGGCTGTATGACATCCAGCACTCTCCTCCTCATACCCCCTGTCAGCCTCCTGATCCTCTGAAGGGTCACTCTACGCTATTCCTCGTGTAAAGCAGCTTCAAATTGAGCCAGGTTCTGTACAGGAGGATCCCTTTGTTGCACACAACGACCAATCATGTCCCAGGTATGCTCCAAAGGGTTAAGATCGGGGGCTCAATTAATCGTGAGATATGTCGGGGCTGCTTAACTAAGTTCTTTGTGTATATATAAAGTTTGATCAGCAATATGGCAGCGGTCTGTAAATAATCGAGTCTGGACCAGACAATCCAGTGATTAAGAGCATGAGCAGCGATCTACGCAATTGGGATACGATGACATGTGTCCACCTAATCAGCGAGTCTGACCACCCGATACCGTTAGTAGCCTTTTACGACAAGCATGGGTTGCTGAAGATCAATTCTAACCCGGATCTTCACGGGTCAGTGAGAGAAACTGTACGTGTATTACAATTACACCAAGAGAGGCACTTGAAGATAACAATAACAGCACACAGCATCAAACATCCATATTTGTGATTTGCTATATCGAAAGGTGTAATTAGAGCTGACATAAGTGAGTGAGTGAGTGAGTTGGGTTTTACGCCGCGTTTAGCAATATTCCAGCAATATCAAGGCGGGGTACTCCAGAAATGGGTTTCACACATTGTACCCATGTGGGGAATCGAACCCAGGTCTTCGGCGTGACGAGCGAACGCTTAAACGACAAGGCTACCCCACCGCCCCAGAGCTCACGTGAACCCATGATGTATATTCTGTGAGACCTGACCTCATCAGCGTCATATGACCCCGTGTTGTGTGCTGTCTCTATATCAACACCTCATCAGCGTCATATGAACCTGTCTTGTAAACAATTTGTACACTAACCTCATCAACGTCATATGAACCTGTCTTGTAAACACTTTGTACACTGACCTCATCAACGTCATATGAACCTGTGTTGTAAACAATTTGTACACTAACCTCATAAGCCTTATATAAACCTGTCTTGTAAACAATTTGTACACTAACCTCATCAACGTCATATGAACCTGTCTTGTAAACACTTCGTACACTGACCTCATCAGCGTCATATGAACCTGTCTTGTAAACACTTTGTATATTGACCTCGTCAGCGTCATATAAACCTGTCTTGTAAACATTTTGTACACTGACCTCATCAGCGTCATATGACCCCGTGTTGTGTGCTCTTAGTATACTGACCTCATCAGCGTCATATGAACCTGTCTTGTAAACACTTTGTACACGGACCTCATCAGCGTCATATGAACCTGTCTTGTAAACACTGTGTATATTGACCTCGTCAGCGTCATATAAACCTGTCTTGTAAACATTTTGTACACTGACCTCATCAGCGTCATATGAACCCGTGTTGTAGACAGTGACACTACACCACAACCCGCCCCCCGCCAAAACGGTGATGTCGCAGGTAAAGTCATCATATCTGAACGTGGTGTACGACAAACCGTAGCCGTAGGGGAAGGCCGGCTCTCCATCAAAGTACCAGTATGTCCGACCAGCCATAGAATAGTTCACCATCGGAGGGATCTGGAAGGGAAGATAGGGAATACTGAAAATCATGCATTAAAATCAATAACTGAGCTCTGCGCTTAAAACTTGATTTGCTGAATGAGTGTGGGATGAGTAAGTCGAGTGAATTTTGTAAATTGGGATCGTATTCAAATCTCTGTGGACGTTTCTTACAATGTCGGTTAAAAACATATACTACCCATCAAAAGTTGAGTGAGTGAGTGAGTATGTTTTTAGGCCGCTTTTAGCAATATTCCACCAATATAACGGTGGGGGACACCAGAAATGGGCTTCACACATTGGGCCCATGTGAGGAATCGAACCCGGGTCTTCGGCGTGACGAACGGACGCTTGAACCACTAGGCTACCCCACCTCCCCCAAAAGTTTAGACTCACTAAAAGCGCTCACTATATGTTATGTATATATAGATAGTTACATCGAAGATGAATTTCTCCACTAACTTCCGAGAACCATCTGCAAACCTCATGCAGATGAATTGCAGGATGATTATGCATCAAATTGCTGAAAAGCATGTGCAAATATCGTGCATGTGAACAGCTGCGTTATGGTGTAAAGTTTTGTTAAGAATTCGCCAATTTTCACTGATTTATTGAACTAATGAAAATACATTTTTCAACGTTACAAATTTGTTTTGCAATATATCAGTTCATGTGTAAACAGTACCTTTAAACATAATGAAATATTTAGCAAAATCTAGTTTAGAACAGTTGACTGTAAGTGGCTACATTTACACTAATGAGTCTAAACTTTTGATGGGTAGTATAATATTGACACGCGTTCTACAGGCCATATGCGACCATAGCTCTAAGTAACCAGTGCCATAGGTTCAAGCTGATAAACACAAATAACCAAAATAACTTGTAGTTCACTGATCGGTCATTAGTTGACTTTCGCAGCTGGTTATCAGCGACTGACCACACCCTGGGGTACAAAACCTTCACCTGACTATCAGTGCTCGGCCATGTGAAAGGCAGTCTGGCAGCTGGTACAGACCCTGTCCCAGTGTTGGTCAAAGAAGACCAAATGGCGTTGCCTGCTCCTTGAGCCGGATAGAAGCATTCCAAAATGGCCACGACGCGTGGATTTGTCATGGCCCATCCGATGTTGAGGGGGCCGCCGTTGATCAAGATCAACACAACGGGCTTGTCCGCTAAGGAAAACAAAATGTTCCTTCATAAAGAGAGGCGAGTCATCACTGACCTTAATATTATTGGGCGGTGGGGTAGCCTAGTGGTTAAAGCGTTCGCTCGTCACGCTGAAGACACGGGTTTGATTACCCAGATGGGCACAGTGTGTGAAGCTCATTCTGGTATCCTCCGCCGTGATATTGCTGGAATATTGCTAAAAGCTGCGTAAAACTAAACTCACTCACTTGATATTACAACCCGCAGACAAGAAGAGAACTTATTTACGCAAGTGACATAATATGATGTGAAGTTTATAGTTTAATAAGAACAGTGTTGTAAGTAAAAATGAAACAAATTCGAGAGAAGTTCTGAAATTACAAACTTTAAGCGTTTCCAAACAAAATTAAGACAGTAATGTAACAGACAGTGACGCTAACCAGCAAATACATCATACAGACAATAGAACTTGTTGTCAGGGGCAAGGCGGGTTTGAAATAAGTACTGAACGTCATGGAGTCAGTGCAACGTGTCCATGTAGGGAGTCCATGTTAAACTATGACAGTGCCTCTCATAGCACTAATATGTGGAGGTCACGACTCACGCACGGACACACGAAGACACACACTCAGATATATAACCGCAATAATCTTGGCAAGGGCATTAGACTCAACTGCGTCATTTCAAATATTTGATCTAATTTAGCAAAATTGTTGTTCATGGTTTCGCCGTTACACTGTGCAATCTCCCTGCACACTTGGCGTGTACTTTTTGTTGCCGTGTCGAATACTTGCACTGCCTTTGCATGTATTGTGACTGCAGCCCGCAATGGATACGCGAACACCATTTCTGGTGGTGTCCCCCTGCCGTGATATTGCTTGGATATTGCTAAAAGTGGCGTAAAACCATACACACTCACCATATTTATCACGGGACTGATTGGAGTGTGTGAGTGAGTATGATTTTACGCCGCTTTTACCAACATTCCAGCAACATCACGACGGGGGACACCAGAAATAGGAATCGAACCCGGGCCTTCGGGGTGACGAGCGAACGCTTTAACCACTAGGCTACCCCACCGCCCGGACAGATTGGAATCAATGCAGTGGAAACATTAACATCACACCCTTATTTAGTAAAGGAGGTTTTCACCTGTTCCCAGCCACACGAACTCCCAGTATCATGACAGTTTTATAGTAATTCATGAACATAATTTCATGTTATTTTTCTGAATCGAACAAAGGACCAGTATGATTGTGGAAAGTGTTTTGTAGCTCATATTCAATGTATGATGTAGACGCTGTCTTACTGTTGCTGACGACGTCCTGTAGAAGCTGCAGCTGCTGTCCCGGCAGAGAGATGTTGTGTCTGTCACGCCCCTCCGTCTCAATGGCCTGACCTGCTCATCACAAGAACAGAGTAGCGTTACAACACTGTATCCTCCACCTGCCTGTCATCCAAAAGATTCAACGTACATTCAAACCTACTACTGTTTTAATCGTAGTATATATGGTATTTTAAGCTATGGCTGGATTATCTAAAATTGCTCATAGCTGAAGGGATGGTGTAAATCCAGCTATGGTCGATGCAGGCAGCAAAGAAACTGTAAGTCCCCATTGTCCCTAATGTGGTGATCTACCTTCAGTTGTTGGCAATCTATAGCCTGTTTCCATATTGTCTTGTCATTTATAGTTAAAATGTTTGAAATTTAATTGCTAGTTTAAAATTTATGTCTCCTATAAATTAGCTGTTTCACTGTACTTCGTTGACAGGTTTTTATAATTTATCTATAATTATTATTGATATATAACCTGATATAGTCACGATATGGTTGAAATATTGCCGATGTGACTTAAAATTTTAACCCACTCAATCACTCACTCACTCTGCCTGTCGTCATATCAATACAATTGTAAACAAATGGTTATTTATTTAAAAGGTTCTTATGTAGGGCCCGTATGTAGGTCACGGCACTTCCGGTCACGACCGTTAACAAACAATGTACACTTGTCTGGTCCAGTAAAGTCACATTTGGCGGTCGTGCTATTTGGAACCAGAAATGGTTCTTAAACATACGCTTGTCACCGGAAATCTGGGCCCCGTCTCGCATATCGCAAGTTGGCGAGCGCAAATGGAGCCTGGAACCAGCTTAGTACCGGAAGTAGTGCCTCGGGAGACTCTATGTCAGGGCAGAATACGTGTTCTGTCCTTGATGTTCCGTCTACCATCGAGCGCAAGTGCCGTGATAGAGCAGAATTCTGTTCAAAGTGTCAATAAACCTATATGCTGCCCCACAACAACGGGTATTAGGTGTATATTTACATTCTATGGCTTATCTGTGCAATTCGTTATAAACATTACAAAGTTTCGTGAATGACAATACTCCATACAAATGCAGGCGTCCCCTTCTAAACTCCACCCCTCGGTCACTCTCTGGGGCGGTTAGTGGTTAAAGCGTTCGTTTGTCACGCCGAAGACCCGGGTTCGGTTCCCCACATGGGTACAATGTGTGAAGCCCTTTCCTGGTGTCCCCCGCCTTGATATTGTAGGAACATTGCTAAAAACGGCGTAAAAACATACTCACTCACTCACTCAGGTCATTGCAATGGCTCATCAGCATATTCCTTTTGTATGTTGCACCTTATTTATCACTGGACTTATTGGAATCAATGCAGTGGAAGCATAGACACCACACCCTATAGTGAGGGGCGGTGGGGTAGCCTAGTGGTTAAAGGGTTTGCTCGTCACGCCGCCAGGTTTGATTCTCCACATGGGTACCAAATGTGAAACCCATTTCTAGTGTCCCCCGCTGTGATATTGCTGGAATATTGCTAAAAGCGGTATAAAACTAAATACATCCACACTTGTTTAGTGGCGCAGGTTATCACCTGTTCCTAGGCATACGAACACCACGTCGGCTCCTTGCAACGCCTTGACCACGTCTCCCTTCCTGTAGTCGGTACAGAAGGTGCTGGAACAGCCTGCAGCGTGGGTGGCCGTGGTGCCCAGTCTGACCAGTCCGGACAGAGGGGAGCTGATGTAACGGGGGTCAGGACTCGGGGCGTAGTCACCAAACACCTGTTGGCTACCATTTGCCATGGGACCTACCACCTGGAAACGAATAGCTCACTAACGTCATGTGTGTCCATCATTGACAGAGTTGGATTCGAACACGGACCAGTTTTGTTTATCAATCGGTGACGAATCCTGGGCTAAATGACTCAACCTTTTTTTAAAATCTTGATATAGGTTGCCAGAATAATGTATACAATGTAAAGTTGGTGCCACGTCAGCAATCAATACACTTGTTGTTACTATAACACGTGTTCGCGAAATAGGTGTAAGAAATCAGAATCATTTTCTCTTGTTAGTTTTGAAGAACATTTTTCAGCTGTTTCATTTAAGCTCGCCATTAAAATAATGGTAAATGATTCATTGTCAGGTTATGCTGTGCTGACAATTCACATACTGGCCAATTACTGTTGTATTTTGAATTTAGGCTTTACAGAGATACGTTGGTAGCGCTCGTCGATTGACAGTAAAGTGTGACTCTCCTACAGATCTCATCTAGAAGTGCGGCGGTGGAGTAGTCTAGTTGTTAAAGCGTTCGCTCGTCACGCCGAAGACCCGGGTTCGATTCCCCACAAGGCTTTGAAGTCCATTTCTGCTGTCCCCCGCTGTGATATTGCTGGAATATTGCTAAAAGCAGCGTGAAACCGTAATCACTCACTCACTCATCTAGAAGTTCCAGTGACACTCACAGCAACGTGGCTATAAAGGGTTTTCATGGGTAAAAAGCTGTTGGTATTTTTCAGCAGGACGAAACTCTTGACAGCTGCTTCTACAGCTAACTGTCGGTGTGTGGAGCTCAGCACGACTTCATCAATGTCGAGGTAATTGTACGGGTTCATCTCCCGCGGGTCGAACTCTCCGAGTCTTAATCTGGTGTAGAGGAGGGGTTTCATCTGCTCCCGGACAAAATCTTCCGAAACTTTGTTGTCATGTATAGCATCAACTGTAAACAATAATATAGTTGTCAAATGCTGTTCAGGGACTTTTCTATTGTTTAATGCCGCTCTTAGGAACACTCTTGCTTTAAGAAAGAAAACTGTGTGAATAATGGAACCTGGTTCAGACAAGCCAGTGATTGACATTTAGTGAGCAAGTCAGCAAGCTGCAACACAAACGTGGGTCGATGAAGAAGGTTATAGCAAGGATCTTTAAGCGCCGGTAGAGTAATGGAAGTATAAGGGACTTAAGAGCATGGGGTGATGAAGCAGGTTCTAGTAAGGAGCTTCAAACATTAGCAGTGTAATGCAAGTATATGGGACTTAAGAGCATGGTTCTTTGAAAGAAGTTGTCACAAGGTCCTTCAAGTGTCAGTAAGTTAATGGAGTGAGTGAGTGAGTGAGTGAGTATGGTTTTACGCCGCTTTTAGCAATATTCCTGCAATATCACGGCGAGGAACACCAGATATGCGCTTCACAAATTGTACCTATGTGGGGAAACGAACCTGGGTCTTCTTCGTTTTTTTATTAAAAAGGACAAGGTCAGGTTTGTTGGCAGGAGTTCTTCTGAGGCTGTATATGGGCCTATTCCAAAGAAGTTTGAAAGCATCATTTTCCATGACGCCCTGGACATGTTCAGGGTCGTACCATGGATGGACCTCAGTTTCACATTTAAGACCAGCCGACTTCATCCAGGGGAAGGAGTCTCAAGTGGATTTTATAAATGGTTTGCCCACGATATTCTTGGTCGGGTTCTGTGCCTTCCCCTTATTATTACTCACTGATTGAGTTGTACACTCTCAAATCACCCGACTGCACCTCCAGGCCACACCCAGCGTTCAGACAGCCTGCGGCGGCGTCGACGGTGTTGTTGAAGTAGTGCTGGGCCTGGATGATGTTGAGGAGAGCTCCTGAATCAGCTGCGACATATCCTGTGAAGTTCCACTCCCCTCTCACTATGTCTGTCAGCAACTTCTTATTGGCGCAGGCAGGGACCCCCGTTGATGCTGAAACAGCAGGATGAATACATATCTGTTAAATATATTTAGTCGTAATGTCGCCGAAACTAGTTTAAATTCTTAAATATTCTTTTGACAGGAAGGATTTATTTGCTTTCACAATGATTAATATATGTCCTTATGTTTAGAAGTGCGAAAACAAACCATTTTCACAGAAAAACGAGAAGAGTGAGTAAGTATGGTTTTACGCCGCTTTGGGCATTGTACCAGCAATATCATGGCGGGGAACCTGGAAATGGTCTTCTCATATTGTACCCATGTGGGGAATTGACCCCGGGTCTTCAGCGTGACGAGCGGACGCTTTAACCATTAGGCCTCCCTACCGCCCCAAAACAAACAGAAGATGTTACAATTTAGGCGTGTTTAGCAAGACGAGAATGAGATGGCATCGCGAGTTAGGCGTGATTAGAAATACTCGTGAGCCTCACAAGTTGTTAGTGTTTAGAAGTACGAGAACATGATGGTCTCACAAGTTGAGGGAGCAGTGGAAGCCGAAGGACCCAGCCTCCGCACATTTCCGGAAGGGAGGCAGGAAGTAGCTTCTGAAGTCTCGTTCTGAAACCTACATTCAACACATCTTCATTTGACACATCGCTCATCGTTAATGCGTATTTATGTCTCTCGAGATATTTATCGAAAATCGATCGCTATTAATTAAACGATGATCGATCTCTTTGATCTATATCGATAGATAGCTCTAGTAAACATTAATACAATTGATGATGATGATGATGATAAAAGATTAAGTAGCAGAGTATTGACCATTTGATGTAAGATGACAAACCTTGGAATTGAACACATGAGAGTCTACTGGCCAGTCTTCCGGTCCGTCGGCCACATCGAAGTGTTTACAGGCGGAAGTAGTTCTAACATAGCGAGGATGGTTACCTTGGAGACCTTTCACGTGTTGGAATCCCAGCTCACCGGCGTGGTAGGGGTCTTCGCTTAGAGTTTCCTTTTAATTCAAATAAAAATTTCAATCTTAAAGTTTTTAATTGAGTTATGGTTGGAATATCAGACATATCAATCTAAAGTAGAGCAGCAAATATTTTCCAGTTACGAGGGGGCTATCCATTTGGTCCGGGAATCATAGGTTGCTGTGAGAGTGGAGAGTGGAGTGGAGTGGAGTGGAGTGGAGATGATGATGATGGAAAAGATAAGAAGCAAACCTTGGTGGAGTGGAGTGGAGTGGAGAGGGAGGGAGTGGAGTGGAGTGGAGTGGAGTGGAGTGGAGGGAGTGGAGTGGGTGGAGGGAGTGGAGTGGAGGGAGTGGAGGGAGTGGAGTGGAGTGGAGTGGGTGGAGTGGAGTGGAGTGGAGTGGAGTGGAGTGGAATCGAGAATAGGGAATCGGGAGTTGAACCTCCAACAACCATGGTCCACTGGGCCCTCACAACCTATACTGCAGCTTTGTGACTGTGTATAGTATACCACACCTGCCCCCTGCCCCAGCGTGGGTCTCTGTAGAGGTCCATGTTAGGGTTCCAGCAGCTGAGAGCCTGGTGGATGCCCATGGACCCCGTCTTCACGAAGTGGTTGTAGTAGGCTCGAACCTCGGAACTGCTGGCTTCTGCTACTCGGTAGATCAGGTCCTTGCTGAAAATAATTCACGAATGCACTTCCGAGTTTTAATACCAAGATGGTGGATAGACAAACGTGACATATTTATGATTATAGCTAAAATGGATAGAATTATCATTAACACGCCCGTGTGTTATCAGAAATGTGCGGGCCATTGTAACTTGATAATGTCCCCAAATTGCTTAACGACGGGCCATTATCATGCCCGTTGTTAGGTGACGTCACAAGGAGCTCAGCTCTTGGTGTTCAATAATCTACGGCTCGTTTGAACTTGGGTTCAGTTCTGACGATATTGCTGACTCACACTCGTCACATACCTGTGCCATTATGCACTTCCATGACGGTGCCAACCTTAACAATTGTACCATAAATTACAACATGCAGCAATGAAAACATCGACTGGATCTCGATCGTTGTTGAGCATTGAAAAAAAAAAGCGGCTGATAGTATGGGAAAAGGTCAAGGTCGAATGTCGTCACTCTCAATAGTGACGTCATCTGTTTTGTTCTATGACGTCTGCATATTTGTAAAAAGTGTGTCGGTGACCTCCGTCGTTTCTTGTTAGCATTGAATGCTTCAAAACCGATACCGTTGTTTGTTTTTATTTTATTAAAGATTCTATCCATTTTAGCTGTAATAACACAAACGCTATTTTTCAGGGCATTATCCTTTGCAGAAGCCCTCGGTCTTTTCAACTGCCTCCCTTCGTCGGGCAGTTAATGAAAGACCTCGGGCTTCTGCAAATGATAATGCCTGAAAAATAGCGTTACCGTTATAATATACACTGAGCATATGAGTTGATTTTATTCACCAGGTAATATGGATCATTACAACACAATCCTTGAGTGACTAAACATAACATCATGTAACAGAAGCCATAAACTATACACCTGAGTAAAAGAAGATATTCTTTTTTCACATATAATGTGAACTCTACCTCACTCACTCGTTGAAACATGCTTTCCTACTTCAACAATTCTTTTATTCATTAAAATTGTGTCTGTGAGACGTGTTCCGGAAGGGCAGGACATGTTTACCTTTTTCTGTCACTGATTTTCAGTGATCCAATGACATTACTCTAACGGCTATTTATACCCAGTGGAATCGGTTTGGGTAGATAGACTGGTTATTCCCTGACGTTCACGTTCTATATTTGAGTCAGTGAAAACGTGCCAGAAGGTCCTCAGTTTATGTTATATGTCAAATCTAATGGTATATATATATCATGTTATAAATTTTGAATATGGGATTCAACCACAAATATATGCATGAACAATACGATGTTAGAGAGAGACAAACACCAACTTTCCTCGTTCGTTCCATGTACACATTCTTGGAAAGACAGATGAACCTTTCGGACAAAACTCGAAATACATACAAAGATAAAATATGCCAATTTTCGTTTAGCTTTGTAACAAAAGCACATGATAAGGTAGAAAATAAGATAGAAAAGACGTCTCCTTCTCATTTTATTATTATGATAGAATTTATTATTGATGTTCCAAATTGAACCCACACCACAAATTGACAGGAATATGTTTTCTGAGAGGGGACAAATGACTCACTCAAACGACGCTCCAATGCCAATTGCCTGGGGGGAAGGCGGTAGCGTTCTGACCAACATCCCCCCGGCCACAGTTTGTCCACCATGAGTATTTCCCAATGCCTAATCTACTGATGGGTGGGGTAGCTCCCTGACCACTGGCCAGCTGGGCCTGAATCTCCTGGATGGTCAGTCTCCCCACCACGTCCTCGACGCGCACCTGCCAGGGTAGGGAGGCGTTTCGGAAGGGGATGTCTGATGACGTAATACATATCAGAGTTGACAGAAGGATCACAGCACATGTATATCTCATCCTCAGTATCAGCGTTTAGGCGGGTCTCTGACCGGGTCTGTAGTCCCATGTAAATACCTTATCACATACACACGGGATTTTTACCATGTGCCCTACGTTGTTGGGCCTACTTATCGGTGAAGACTGATAGCGTATGTTCACTCAGCTTTGTGTCAAGGTAGCAACCATTTTAATCTCAACGTTGGAATTTCTGTCGAGAAAAAAATAAGTTTCTCCTTTCAACTGTCGGGCAAAAGAAAGTATAAATTTGAAAACTGGATTTGATTAGAAATTATATACTGGCAATGAACACATTTCCAGACTGAAAGGAGTTTTTGAAATAGAGCAAACCTATGGTCCAAAACACTGCTGCGATGCCCGTATCATCACTATCGGATAGAGCATGTACAGACTATCAAATTTAGAGTGTATACTAAATTCAAAACTGACATAAGCTGATGTTTCTGGGTAACATTTTCTTTATTGATTTGAGCGTGGCCATTGTATATTTGACAATTGAATCACACGCGTTATGACCAGTGTGCGAAATAGTTTCAAAAGTTTGCTAGCCAGTCGGGATAGCTATGTGCAAAACTTACTAGCCCACAAAATAATTCACTATCCCGAAATTTGAATGTAGAAAAAAAGCAAAAGATTACAAAAATAGATTACAATAAGATATTGTCGGCATGACACGGGTTTCATAATTAAGCTGCTACTATGATGAATATTTTAATTAGGCCATAATCTTTCATGATTTAAAATGTATTATTGCGTAACAAGTTGGAGAGAGTGATATATTTACGATATGACCCCATGAAAATTCACAAAATCCAGTCGGGCCAGTAAATCTCCACAGTAACTGACCCGACTTGATTTTACTAACCACGGGCTAACAGGCCAGTGGCTATTTCACACACGTTATGGCATTGATTACAAATCTGCTTGACGTTTGGTGTAATTTGATATTTGATGGGAATACCAGTTTTAGACGTAACTCGCAAAATAGCGGTGAAAATCATATTAACGTGTCACTGAAAATCAGTAACACCGGGTGTTCGTGAAAAGCGTATGCTAGTTCAGCCCATTTTTCATACATTTCATACGCAAGTCCACATTGGATCCAATCAGGCTTTCATAGGAAATCACCAACTGTCGAACACAGGATCCCCATAGGTTCTACTGCACCATAGGTTCAGAATCACTTGCTTGCTGAGCCAGTGTCGTGTATAAACCTCTGGACAGATAGAGATATGTGACAGCTGCGATTGGATGAAATAGTGTCAGATTGTTATGTTTTTAAAACACATCCATCCAGTAATTAAAACTGACCACAATTAGAAGTATTTAATTCAGTCATTTTTATCACTATGACTTATGCTCAATGTTCGTATTACGTTTTCAAATAGGTGACATTTGGTGCGGAACTGGCGTTAATGTGTTCAGCTTCCAGAGCTCGGAGAATAGACAGTATAAATTAGCCGTTTGTGTTTTTTTTTATTGTAGTTTAAAGGCCAGACTGTACCGATGTGTACATGGAATGGCTGTTGACAGCCTGGGTGATTTTTTAAAAATATAACGTTACTATAGAAGTCTATGGGAAAACATTTAGTTTTGTGTAACCCCGAATACTGTTGAAATCATAGTCTTTGTTTTCTTCACACAGCAGATGGAGGCACCTCGGGATTGGTTGGAGTTCCGGTATTTGTTATCAGAGGACTAATCTCTGTATATTTATAGAACTCTATAAAGCTAAAAGTACATGCAAACCTTTTAACGGGACCGAGGTCATTCGTTCGGCTGTTCTAAAGTGCCACATTTTGAATAGTTCATTCACAATCTTGTAATGTAAAACACTTTCGGACACAGTGCATATAGCAAATTATATTACCAGTTGTGAATATATTTATCACTGGACAGTTAATGGAAAGAAATGAAAATTCTGAGAGTCAATTTGATGCAAAATTGTTTTGGCATTATCAAATCCCATGCCCTGTATCAACGTCTGATGAAAGGCTAAGGGTGTGCTGTATTTAATATCATTAAGCTGTCTCTTGTCAACTGAAGTGAGTTTGTTCAAACATGCCTCTGTTCACCCAGCAGAAAATTGGTACCCGGTGGGATAAGTGACTATAAACTTCTAGCGCCTCACATGCAGCCAGGGTTATCCAAGGTAATAATGAACTGTCTGTTTGTATGCACTAGGTGTATGGAAGTTAGCGCTATAGAAGTACACATTCTTCTTCTTAATATAATAACGTTTAGTACAAGTAATCTACAGCAGATGTAATAATATTAGTGGATATTACAATTGTATCCTTTAATAATTATTATGCGTACAACCTGAGCTGCATCTTGTATATTTACGTGTTGTGAATGCGGTCAAGCACGTTGGGATATAACTTTCATAACATCAGTATGCGCACAAAGTCTGGGCTAGTACACGCAGTCACACATACACACGCATGCACGTCGTCATATGAGCGAAACATTCGTAAGTACGACGTTAGACCCCATTTTTTCAGCTCGCCTCACAGACACATCTGGCATGGTTCAGGCTTCAAGAGAACCGCCTCTTGAGGACACGGTGTACGATTGTTTGGTCCTATGAAAGATGCTATTTTCTGCGCGTTTCCCTCCGCCGTTGACGATATGGAGACATCGTAACGAGGCAAATCACCAGGAGATGATCGATGCAACTGTCATCGCCCGGATATGAACCCTATCGAAGATCTTTGGGACTATGATGGACGCCAAGCTCGATCTAGAGATCTTCCTGTCCAAGATCTGCAGGAATTGAGGAATATGAGAAGATTCAGACGCTTAGAATCTGACGCTTGATTGCCAGTATGAAGAAGAAACTAAGTACAAGTTGTTACGGTTATCATTTTAATATGCTTGTCAAAACATGTCTGACTGACTGACTGACTGAGTTTGGTTTTACGCCGCTTTTAGCAATATTCCAGCAACATCACGGCGAGGGACACCAGAAATGGGCTTCAAACATTGTACCCATGTGGGGATTCGAACCCGGGTCTTCGGCATGAGGAGCCAACGCTTTAACCACTAGGCTACCCCACCGCCCCGTCAAAACATGTACAACATGCAGTGTTTTCGTACTTATATATATAAAAACCAAGTGGTGCTTGCTAAACGCTTATGTGTATATTATAACTTTAAGAAATGTTTTCAAGAATGGAATACAAAGTTCATCCCTTGCGAGTAACGGTAAACTAGTAAGAAATCGCGTTTGATAATCACTAGAGTGAGTTAATATTTATCGTCGCATCGGCAATATTTCAGCCATATCGATAATCACTAGAAATCTCTACATAATGCAGATTCCATCGTACAATTAGGAGATAAACGTACTGTGTTTGGAAATAAGATGAATGTTGCACCGAATTGATAGTCTCTAAATTTCATTTAAAGCCGAACGCGTATTTATATATTTATGTTTTACAGAATTTGCATCAGAGAGGGTTCGGGTGATCCTGGCACAGTCAGGCTGGCAAGACTCATCATCAGCTCAGAGCCCTTGCCCCCGGACAGCGAATGGGACTTCTTCCCAAGAAGCGCTGCCAAGTCGAACCCACCAAGGACTTTCCGTAGAATATGAAGACTCTCCAACGTTGAAGCCTTCTGCATTACCCAGAGTGCCAGAAGGGCTGTGCTCCCGGTGGAGAAAAAGTCAAGAGATCAAGAGGTACCAAACCAAGGGCACCAAAAACAATGCCTGACGACAGCGTACTTGGGATGCAAGCGAGACATTTCAAAGGCGAGGTCCGCATAATTAGCATGTTTTACCTGAATCTTACCAGTCACATTGCTGTCAAAAGGGATAGAAAATTCAATGAGGACATAAAAAAGGACAAGATTTAATTATATTTATTGTTATTATTGTCAAACAATATCGGCCATTAAAGGTCGACCCGCCACTTATTCGATTTGGAAAATCTGAAGCAAAGACAAAATTGGATCTGGTTAAAGGCTTTGGACAAATAACCTTGATTTGATCTTGCTTATCCGAGCACTAATTCACTTCGTCACTATTTCATCCATATCGCGACTATGAGAGTTGTATATATGAATCAAAACAAAATTAGACAATATAAATATCTGTCGACAAGGGACAGTAAAATAGCTACTGTAACACTATTACAAATAAGACGTAAGAATAGCATGTTACAATAATACAATAATTATACACGCAACAGTACAATATGAAAACGGGCTATAGATCGCCAACCACTAAATCACCATACCAGAGACGGAAAATTATTTTTAAATGCAAACAAACAAAAATTGAAAATACACACATGCTTATTATGCATGTATATACAACAAAACGGACGTAGTATTCAGCATTGTGTTGTTTAAAAAAATTGAATTATATTGGACCGTGTACTCAGTTTGTGAGAGATTTTTGATGACATTCAATATATCATTGTTCTTATCATATCATGCATCCATTGTCCCAGCCAAGGTGTTTCCGCCCTGTTTGATATGATGAGGAAACCATACACATATAACAATGAAACCGACCCACATATCTCTCTGGGTTTGTATCTTCCTTAAAGATATAAAAGCGTTTTAATTTTAAACCCTAAAACTTTTAAGTAGTTTAAGCCCCAATACATAGTCCAAACTATTATGACCTTTGTGGATACAAATAGAAAAAAAAGTAAAAAGTACCACTATATTTTCAATACAAATCTGATCATTATGAACTGAATAATTACAGAATAATTACACATGCGTGACGGTATCTGTACGACTTTGAAGTCGTGATTCACTATTTGCATGAGCATTTCTGTAATGTTTGCTAGGCGCATGGCACTTAAACACGTGTTTGTCTTTTTTGTAATATGAACAGCGAACAATAACTCTTCACTTATCAGGTGCTCACGAACACGTTTTTAGCCTGGGCAATGCCACAGCTAGTTGAAAATGAACATCCACGTATGGTGCAAACAGTTATATCTAGACATTTTAATGTTCATCGAAACGCAGTGTCATGTTTTGCTGGACGTTATCAACATTAGGGCAGCGATCATGTGATCTCTACGTGTGATAGCAAGACATTCGTATTCTGTTGGTGCATCTGCGGAATCGTTAGCGAACCGCCACATTAACCGCTGGGTTGGGAGCAGAACCTCATGCAGGAACGTCAGAGACAGCACAACTTCCGGCCTCGTGGTAGTTGACTACGCCCAATTGTGCAACCATCATGCTCGCCAAACTTGGTGTGCTGCGTCAGAAGTGTGACGTCATCAGAATGGTATAAATATCTTATATCGTACTTGTCACCATTACGTGTGCAGCAGAGGCGACAAAACCCTGTCCACGCCTATAACACATCTCTGCTAAAATCAGAGTCGACTGTACAACGCAGACTACATAATGAGTAACACACGTCTATAATCTACACAACAGCAATTACTCGCTACGTGGTGATAAATAGAGAAACTCACCCAAGTGTCTACTGATATCAAGCATATTAACACGAGGTTAAGATTCTGTTTATCATCAAAAATCACTCTTCATTAGTTTTCAATGAAAGTGCACATCTCTGAACACACTACTTGCAGTGCAGCCATGTCACAGCATTGTGACGCTATCAAATTTATGACGTCATAGCATTTTGATGTCATTAGGTTTTTGATGTGGCAGCATTGTGAGTCATGTAATTAATGATGTCGAAGAATTGTCATCTCATGTAATTGATGACGTCAAGACATAATCTACTGTCAAAACGATATCTCCTCCAGTTTGGACTGACAAAATTATATACCCTTCGAAAAAAACTTTAACAGAATAATTCCCCCACCCAGAAACACATGGTTTATGTTACGAAATCTTACCTCAAAGTTTCAATGTTTCTGAGATATCAAAATGTACATATTTAAAACCAACAATAACGATATTTCATAAGCGATATAAAATGAGAAGACATTTACGTACATGTGATAAACTAGCACTGTCCTCAATAAGAGGCTGCTTCCTGTCACGATGTCCGTTACTCATCATTAGCCTGACATTGTCAACACGGATGTAATATACGTAAATATCTATATACATAAACAGCGCAGAAATGAACGGTCGTAGCTGAATACATGTACACGACTTTATAGCACTTCAACACAAATTGGATAGTAGTTTAAATTGATCGACAATGGGTATTGTCCAACTTGAGACAAGCATTTCGTGAATTGCCTAACAAGTTTCGCCCTTAGACCTACTCAGCGAACACTTGAATCTGAAGTAGTGTGATATTGATGCACGTCACAGACCAAGACTACGTCTGTAATGGACAACACAATGCATATCGAGACGTAGTTTATCCATGTGTAACAAGATGGGGACTGATTGGACATTGATTGTAACCAGCATTGTTGTACTGTGTGAGCTGATCCGAATATCCCGTGGTACTGAAGGTGAGACATTATATCATGACACACAGTGTTTTTGAGATGCGGAAGAAAATATTAACTTTCTTGATAAAAACAGGACAATCCCAGCAACGTGTGGAAGCTCAAGGGGCGGTGTGGTTAAAGGGTTTGCTCGTCATGCCGAAGACCCGGGTTCGATTCCCCAATGTGGGAAGCCCATTTCTGGTGTCCCCCGCTGTGATATTGCTGGGATATTGCTAAAAGTGGCGTAAAACCCAGATCAGTCACTTGAAGCTCAATGGTCATCAAAATCTAAGCATTTAAGGATATAGATAAGAGATGTAAGTAATAACAGGTTTCATATAACATCACTGTCAGAATGTTGATGTCTGAATGGTCCACGTGAACTTGATAAACTACTATGTATCTCTCCCGGGAAAGAAATACAGTTATGTTCTGGTGAGTATGTCCCTGTTAAATCCCATTCACGTCATCTGAAGTCGAGCAGTTTGATATTACCCCAAAATGTTCATCGTTCCAGCATGTGGAGGCAGGTACACCAGCACATCTGGTTCTTTCACCTCCCCAAACTACCCCAGCAACTACACAGACAACATCACCTGCACATACACTGTTGACGTCGGTTCTGCACTGGTCATACTGTCCTTCCAAGACTTCAGCACAGAGAGTGGACATGATTATGTGAAGGTATTGTGATGTTGCTTTTCTTTACCTTCGGGTAGTTTTTTTGTGGCATGATATGCTTAGTATGAAGTGTGCTGTACCCTTTTACATACTCCCGTGAAGATCCGGGTTAGAATTGGTCTTCAGCAACCAACGCTTGTCATAAGAGACGACTAACGGGATCTGGTGGTCAGGTTGCTGACTTGGTCATCGTATTTCAGTTGCGTAGATCGATTCTGATGCTGTTGATCACTGGATTGTCTGGTGAAGACTCGATTATTTACAGACCGACGGGATATAGCTGGAATATTGCTGAGTGCGGCGTTAAACAACAATCAATCAATGAACGTTGTACATACATGTTGGTCATGTGCCTCTTTGTTACCTGAAGGTGTACAATGGCAGCGAGGTCCTCATGGCATCACTGTCCGGTGCCAACGTTGGTCACGTCCTCCAGCCTGCGACATCCCTACGTGTGGTGTTCACGACTGATGTATCCGGAAGCGGCAGAGGATTCAAAGCTGTATGGGATCAAGGTAAGTACGTCTTGTAAGGGGTCATTGTCCATATGCAATAATTTGGAGATTCCTCGCTGGATGTTTGTGTTCTATGTCTTGACTTGACAGTGTTCTGTCTCCAATCAGTCAATCTTCATTCGGTGTCTAAAAGGCCCGAAGCCTATGGTACATACATATATTTACACAATATTTACAACCGAAAAGCATATGTCAAACATTTACAGATTACAAATTTACAACAGATTTTCTATGTATAATGCAAAATAGATATACATTGACATAATATGTAATTCAGTAGCATTTTCATTTGTTAATAGTATCTTCATTTTTATTTCATTTGGGTGGGTATACTAATAAGATGTTAAATATTTCAAATTCTATGATTACGAGGATTATTAATATCTCATGCCAATAATGGTTGTCAACCCCCTTCCCCACCCCAACCCCCAACACCTCACACCCCAAACCCCACACCCCCTCTCCAATTAAAAAAATGGAAGGGGGGTGACAACCATTATTGGCATGAGTATATAACGTCCAGCGAGAGCGGGATACAGCTACACGGAATTTCTTTAACAGTTCTGTCTTACAGTTCTGTCTCACAGTTCCCTATCGTTTCAAAGGTCCCAAATGCTAATGTGTACGTTATGTGATATATTGTGAAGTGATGTGCTGTTATATTTCACACATCCGCATTTTCCAAGTGAAATTCACCCATCGTAACTGTTATATACTCTCCCAAGAAAGAAACGCATATAGGAATTTCAACTGTATTTTTATGTTTATTTTGAAACATCTTGTAGGCTTTATGAGTCAATGAAATTGCACACTGGGAATGCAGGCTTATCCGTCTTTGGCACCAACTCGACGAAAGTCAGTTTGAGTGTCACATGTGTGGTGGCGCTGAAGTCAATACCTCGTGTGACCACCGTGGGCATCCAGAACTGCACGGCATCGCCTCGGCATCGAACGAATAAGTCTCAGAATCTTGGGTTGCCCAATCGCAGCCCACTCTGCCTGTAGTGCCTGTGCGAGTTGCTGAAGTGTCTGGGGCTGAGGGTTACGGCGTCGCATCCGTCTGTCCAGGGCATCCCACAGATGTTCGATCGGGTTTAAGTCCGGTGATCTTGAGGGCCAGGGGAGCACATTGATGTTGTGGTTCTGGAGGAAGTCTCTAGTGTGACGTGCTGTGTGGGGCCTGGCATTGTCCTGTTGAAACAACTCCCTCTGGCGATCAATGATTGGAAGGAGGTGTGGGCGTAGGATTTCGTCACAGTACCGTTGAGCTGTCAGGTTGCCCTGGATCATCACCAAATCACTTCTCCTACGGCAGGTGATCGCTCCCCACATCATAACACTTACCCGGCCGAATCTGTCCACGTCGGCGAAACGTTCACGTCGACGTCTGTACACTCGCATTCTTCCATCGCGTCGTTCCAATAGAAATCGTGATTCATCACTGAACCAGATTCTACGCCAATTCGGTAGGTTCCAGGCCTGAACGTTGGTGCACCATTGAACTCGATGTCGACGATGTTGTTGTCGAAGCACAGGGCCAAAATAAGGTCTTCTTGCACGTAAACCAGCCTCTCTCAGCCTGTTCCTGACGGTCTGTGCAGAAAGTCTCCTCAATCCGGGTATTTGTCGAGCGGTACTGGTCGCAGTAGCTGTTCGATGACGCAGGTGATGTACCCGGATGTAGCGATCCTGCGCCGCAGTGGTAGCTCGAGGTCGCCCACTACGAGGGGCATCTGCTACCGCATTCTGCCGGCGACATCTCTCCCAGAGCCGTGAAATGGTGCTTTGGTGAACATTCATGCGTCGGGCAACTGCACGTTGAGACTGGCCAGCTTCAAGCAAACCAATGGCGATATGACGGTTGGCTCCACTTAGACGTGGCATTTTGCGTTCGTCAACAATATTCCAAATACAGTGAATAATCGACAGACAGCGATCAACCTTTTATACCCATCATTGAGATTATCTGTTCCCAAACTTTCACGTGCATTGCATGTGAATTGTGTATTCTGTGATTCTGTGATTTCGACACGCCGAAACTGAAAATCATGCTGTTAAATACGGGTATTTTACGGATGGTGCGTTTTGTTGTGATGTATCACAACATAAACACCATAGGACTCATAAACAGAGCACAACCTTTTGTAAAATGAATCACGTTTTAATTCATTGCTACATGAAATTTCTATTTTCATGATGCGTTTCTTTTTGGGGAGAGTATATTATGAAGTTAGCCTGCGCTGATTACCCAGTCATAGGCAACCCTTCATTGACCACCTTAACTGTATGAATACAAGTGATGCTTACACTTGCAGTAGCCGATGCCGCTTCAGTAACTGGCCTCCCACCCGTCATACACATGAAAGAGTATTCCAGTCTCATGATAGACTGTAGTACCTACACTGTTATTGGTAACTCTTCAACACCTGCCTACAAATGGACATACGGTGCGACAACTGTCAGTGCTGGGTCCGTGCTGATGAGAAGACATGTCCACAGGAGGCAGGGAGGCGACTACACATGCCATGTCACCAATGCATTGGGCTCGGTATCTGCTGCAGTTAATGTCGATGTCCAATGTGAGTTCATATACACGCTGACTTAATAGAGAGTGAGTGAGTAAGTTTAGTTTTACGTCGCTCTTAGCAATATTCCAGCAATATCACGGCGGGGGGGCACATGAAACGGGCTTTACGCATTGTACCAATGTGGGGAATCGAACCCGGGGTCTTCTGCGTGACGAACGAACGCTTTAACCACTAGGCTACCCCACCGCTCCTCTGACTTAATACTTACCATGAGAACATCTTCTGTTTCCAAAGTTGAAATTGTATAATTAACCGGAAATTAGTGCGCAAAATAACTAGGTGTGAAGCTAACAAACAACGAAATGTGCTGTAAACAACGCCTGTATTCAAAATTAATTAAGTTCTCAAATGAATTGAAATCAGTGCAAAGGTATCCATACGGCACTGCAGTTTGTGAAATATATTTTATTACTTTGTATCATTATTTATTGCTTCCTTGTGGGGTAAGGGGCGGTGGGGTAGCCTAGTGGTTAAAGCGTTCACTCGTCGTGCCGAAGACCCGGGTTTGTTTCCCCACATAGGTACAATGTGTGAAACCCATTTCTGGTGTCCCCCGCCGTGATATTGCTGGAATATATTGTCCAGAATGGTTCCGGCAAAGATGTCTACACATATTAAATAGTTAATCATGTCTGGAAATGATATCTTGCAAATGATTTCATCTGTTAACCTTTTGTGTACTCGCTTGCGTATTTTTAGAAACAATAGACCATAAATATTGATGACTGATGTTGTCTTTGGAAGTTTAAGAAAATATAGATGTGTATAAAATTGAAGACCAGTACATGGTAGCAACACCGCGATTCGTCATGTTTGCTTCCTAAATGGGTTATTACTTTCTCAGGGACGGTGGGGTAGCCTACAGGTTAAGGCGTTCGCTCGTCACGGGTTCGATTCCCCACATGGGTACAATGTGTAAAACCCATTTCTGGTGTCCTTCGCCGTGGTATTGCTGGAATATTGCTAAAAGCTCACTCACTATTACTTTCTGATAAGTTCACCAATTTCAGAAAATGTACAATACTTTGTATTTCGATGTACAGTACTGTGTATTGACAAGTAAATTGTATCGCGATATATTGTGATAATTGTACGTGTATTGTGATACGTATTGCAATATATTGTGAACTACGGTGTTTGGCAGTTGGTGATGCTGATCGTACAAGCAGATCCAATTTTCTACATATTAAGACATATTAAGCAACAGCAAGCTCAAAGAAAGGTTGAATAAAATTTATTGTATGTAAGTATGCCGTTTTATCAAATAAAAAAAGGGAAACACCAGTGGCGAATGAAAGATTGACGTGAAGATTTTGATTTAAACCATAGAGATAATCAGAAAATCTCTAATATTTTTAACCAATATACCAGTTCTCAGAAAATATAATGCAATACGTATCTCTTGAAAAGCGGTATAAACCCCTGCATAATGCTAATACCAGTCCTAGTACATACCCATATACACAAACACACACACACCCTCTCTCTCACACACTCACACACAAAAACAAAGAAACAAACACACACAAACAAACACACACACACACGTACATACTCAAGCACAAGCACACATAACTGTACATTATAACTGTTATCATACACAGATGCACCTCTCATATCTGGTCTCCCGGCTGTGTACTCCATCGCTGAATACTCCAGTGTGAAGTTAGACTGCAGTGATTACACGGTCGTAGGCAACCCTTCCTGGACCATCTATAGGTGGACGAGGAGAGGGTCCACCCTCACCACACAGTCTGTCTTTGAAAGAGGAAACATTAGCAGGAGACAGGGAGGAGAGTACACGTGCATTGCCAGCAACACAGTAGGATCAGTGCGCAGCCACATCGCCATTGATGTCCAGTGTAAGGGGTATAGTCACTCTGTTTCCTTTTATATTCTCGGAACAGCATCGCTTAATGATATATTCTATTGCAGGCACTTGTGTAATATGATATTTATTCCCTCTTGAGACTCTTTCCAATGTCCCAATAAAATGTTTGTTTTGCATGTATATTTTGCACAGGTAGTTTCTGGAATATTTTCTCATTTGAATATTTTTTTCCCGGAAACTAACTGACCCATTAACATTAATTTTATATAGTTGTCTATTGAATAATCATCATGCTTAATGCAACGACTACATATGCATAATTAAACCAAGACTAGGGCATTTAGAAGTGGAATGCATAAGAAGAGCAAGATTTATGGATGTCAACGTCTTTATTGGGAGTAACACGACGTTTCGGAGTGTATCCTTGTTCCTTCATCAATTAATATATTACCAATAGCATTTTAGAAATTTGATAAGGTACTGACATTGATTTTCAGTGGCTTTCCTACGGATACTTGAATCTGACAGTGGTACCCACATACCATTATTTCTAGCAGCCAAACCTATCCCTTCTCATGTACAGATGCTCCGTCAACATCTGGCCCACAGTCCACATACCCTGTCAAAGAATCATCCCGTATGAGGATATGCTGTAGGCGATATATCAGACAAGGTAACCCGTCGATAACCACCTACACATGGACCCATGCCGGCTCCATCGTCAGTACCAGAGACAGACTGAACATGCCAAGCATCAGAAGAAGTCAGGCAGGAGAATACACATGCACTGCCTCAAACGGTGTTGGGTCTGCGTCTGTGCTAGTCAGGGTGGATGTACACTGTGAGTATTCTGTATTCCCAAAGCACTTGTATACGGCATTCATTCACTAACACCATTAAAACAAGCGTGAGTTTGACTCAGACATGGGCATGGCAACTATGAAATGTTGCACTAATACTACCATTACTACCATGGGGCGCGGGGTAGTCTAGTGATTAAAGCGTTCGCTCGTCACGCCGAAGGCCCGTGTTTGATTCCCCACATGGATAGAATGTAGCCCTATTTTGGTGTCCCCCATGCCGTGATATTGCTGGAATATTGCTAAAAAAGCGGCGTAAAACCATACTCACTCACTCACCGTTACTACCACTACCATTACTACGTATACTACCACAACTAGTACCACGACCACGACCACGAAATCGACCTCGAACTCTGCCTCTATCACTACCACTACTACTACCACTACTACTACTACTACTAGTACTACTACTACTACTACTACTACTACTACTACTACTACTACTACTACTACTACTAAGTACTACTTAACACAACTACATGTCTTGGGCATGCTAGAATACCTATCAAAGAGGGTTCGAATCCCAGATTAACTCTCATTGTACTCCTTGATCTGTCAGCGCCCTATATGTGGACGTTGGTTCCAAGTGTCCGGCATTGAAGACCTCCTCTCCAAACAAGCTGAGAAATAATCACGACACTCTTCAAAACGGCATGAAATCAAATCCACTTACTAACTTTATTCCAGCCCCACCCTCAGCACCTACAGATTTCCACGCGGTTTCGGTGACTGGTACAGCCGTGTCACTCCAGTGGATCTCCAACTACAACGGAGGGGCAAACCAGACATTCACTCTGCAGTACAAATTAAACCGACACTCGTACTGGGCAACATGGAGAGATGGCATACAAGATCCGGGAAGGAATATCCAAGTCAGAGAAGACATCCCTGGCCTGACATCGACCAAAGGATGCCAGTTCAAGTTGCTCGGCAGCAATATCTATGGTGACGGGGAATCAGTCATACTAACTTCAACCACATTCTGTGAGTAGTATGGCTTAACGTAAATAAAATATGTCGAATGTCAATTTACATGATCTTTGTTTACTGCGATTAGTATTGATTAATGAAAGTAAAGTATGTCGAATGTCAATTTACATGATCTTTGTTTACTGCGATTAGTATTGCTTAACGAAAGTAAAGTATGTCGAATGTCAATTTACATGATCTTTGTTTACTGCGATTAGTATTGCTTAACGAAAGTAAAGTATGTCGAATATTAACACAAATCAGTTGTGTTCACAATGAGTGAGTGAGTTGGGTTTTACGCCGCTTTTAGCAATATTACAGCAATATCACGGCGGATATGTCGAATAACCATTTACAGTGTCCGCATCTGTAGCGAAAACAAAAATTTGCTGGGTATTTTAATAATATTTTTGTTAACATTCTCATAAGAGCAGTTGCATGGATCATTCTGGAAGATGACTGAGTTGATTGATAATGATATCGTTTGAGCGTCCAATGGACGTTTGGCCTGGTGTTACGTTATGTTTTGTTGACAAACGATCCCAGAAACAGATTCGTGTCTATAAGATGCAGATTAATCCCAGTACAATTCATATTTCTCATTTCATTCATATCTTCTGTCAGCATCTGGCACACCTGAAACAATACTTGGCCTCGGAACAGCACTTGGAGCTTGTGTTATTGTCATCGCAATTATTGTCGTCAGAAGTTTCCAACGAAGACAAACAAAAGGTTTGATCAACATAGATCTGTCTGTCTGTTTTATCTAACCAAGAAACAATTCTCTAGCTACACATCAATCTGGTATTAGTGTCATTGAATTTGTTGGTTGGTGAGTTGGTTTGTTGTTTAACACCGCACTCAGCAATATTCCAGCTATATCGCGGCGGTCCGTAAATATTCGAGTCTGGACCAGACAATCCACTGATCAACAGCATGAGAATCGATCTACACCATTGGGATACGATGACACGTGTCAGCCAAGTCAGTGAGCCTGACCACCCAAACCCGTTAGTGGCTTTTTACGACAAGCATGGGTTGCTGAAAACAATTCTAACCCGGATCTTCATGGGTTTTATTGAATTTGTATTGGTACAGCTGAGGGAGAGATACGCTGCATATTGCAAATAAGTGCACATCTCACACAAACTTCATAGACCAGTGAAGCATGTTCCTTTTTTGCCCTGATCCCAATACATTGGTCACACGTTGCTGTTATTAGATACAATTTTTTATTCGGTAATTTACCTTTCAGATAAAGAGGAGCCAGGCAATATACAAATGTAAGTATAATTGAAACATATTGTTTGTAGCATCCAATTAACCGTTTATCTTCTTTAACCAAAATACGAAATCCTTGTTGTCCCTGTTGGCTACACAACCTGTTTCTTTCAGACTGTGCCACATGTGAATACACAACTTCTTTTTATTCCATGTAAAGAATATAGAATAAAAAGAAGTTGTTATCCATAAAACGTCTCATGCATTCATGTTCGTCCAACTTCTAAATGCATTTCAAGAACTTGTACCACATTTAACAAGTTCTTTTGGAACCGTGGATGCTGTGGTGGCTGAGTGGGTTAGATCGTGGACTTTAATTTGTGTGCCTGACGCTGAGAGTGCTGGTTTGAATCCCGAAAAGGACTCAACCTAATATTAGTACTAGGATCTGTACTTCAAAGTGCCATCCCAAATATAAGATATGTTAAGTTCATCTTGTGTAAGTATGTAAGGTCCTCATCTTTGATTTGTTTTCCATTTATTAAGGACTATGCAGATGTCATGTTCACAGCAGCTAGTACAGGGTAAGTCAACAACATCAATATTTAGACAACAATATGAATATCTATGACAAAAAGATTCATATAAAACAACAATATCCATATTTATAACAACAATGCCCATATTCATAACAAAGTACCCACAATTTTTCTTATCATGTATCTCTATTATTTATAACGTTTTCATAACGTTTTACATCATTTCTTTTAAGAACAAAATTATGCGCTTATGTTGCTTAAATTAATTCTTTTCTTTGTGGCTGCAAGACGAGGAAACCCACAGAGAAGAAGCGAACGTCAATGAACACATCCACACAAAGACACAAGAGCATTGCCAGAACTCTACAGTTAAAGGTGTAATTGCAGCCAGCTGGTGCTGAACCATCACAAAATTCATCGAGTTTCTAATATATCAGAAATAGGAAACAGTTGAATGTTAAACACATTAAATGACTACATGCAATAACACCAAATGTAACGCAGCAAAGGTACCTGAACTGATTATATATTGAGTGTATGTATAATGTATGTATGTATATAAATACATTGTGTTTTTAATACCATCATTTACTGTCATACTTCAACATACCCGTAAAAACACCTACTCTTTATCCATTGACACAGGTGAGGTGAGGTGAAATTGGTTTTAACTTCGTGCTTGAGAATATTTCGCTCATATGACGACGTGCATGCGTGTGTGTGTGTGTATGTGCGGCTGCTTGTACTAGCCCAGACTGAAGCTGGTTTTATAGTGCTAGCCCGCTGAGATACCATGCCGCAGTGAAGCATGAATATCCCACTCAGACACATTATACTGACTCCGAACCGACCCATCCTTGTTGTACTCATTAATGCCGAGCGCCAGGCAGGGACCAACAAGTACCATATTTTAACGTCTATTAGTATGACGCGGTCGGTCGAACCCGCGACCATTGGCACAGTCATGCTCAAATTTTACATCATCTTATACACAAGACGTGGATCAACTTTACACTTCCCGCGGTACGGCAATAAGTAGAACCCTCTCCCTCGTAAAATACAGCCTCAGTTTTGTAACCTACTCTTTAATCAAATACAGCTCTTTCCTGTGCTACGCAGCTGACACGAAACGTCCAAAGCCATCATAAAGTGAGTGAGTTAGTGAATTAATATAAAACGTCACATCGGCAACATCTCAGCCATATCGTGACGAAAACAATTTATACAATAAAAAAAGAAAACATTTTGGAGAGTAAAACCTGTCGACTATGGACAGTAAAAAATACTAGAGTATCACAGATATGAACATAAAACTAACATGTAAAACTAAAAGATTTCAATTAAAGAATCCAACACAATATAAAACACGGGCTATAAATCGCCAACAACTGAAGGTAGATCACCAAACTAGGAACCATGGGGACTTACATTACTTTTGCTACCTGCATCGACCCTAGCTGGATTTACACCATCCCTTCAGCCGCTGGCGATGGTAGGAAGATTTAGCCGAAATTAAAATCACAAAAATACTACGATTAAAAGGTATGGTTGAGCGAAATTGACTTTGAAAGTGTTTGGGACTTACGTACCATCATAAAGTAATTAGCGTCCGTGATACGAACAGGCCAGACCAAAACTAAAACATATAGTCACGTGAAGTGTTCCTTGAGAACCTTTTATACACATGCTTCCGAAATATTTTATGTTTATACCCTAGAACATGGGCATGCTATGTTTCTCTTGATGGGACGGATCTTTCTTTATTTACAATACGTTTTAATACTCACAGATTCGGAAAATGGAAATGAGAAACTTGACTTGAAACCGTCGCCAGCAACAGAGGATTCAGACACAGACTGCAATACAGCTGACCTCAACAATGGTAGTGTTACATGTTCATCCTTTTCACGAACTCATGGCGATTTTCAGTGATCCATTCAGATACTTTTCACAGCTATTACCCTTTAAACCAAACAGAAATTGTTTCTGGGAATAGTTAAGACTGGTAATGACATGCATATAACTGTTTTCACATTCACTAAAACAGGCCAATAGAACAATGTGCACACGATTTTCACCCCTGAAGATTTGGGTTAGAATTGGTCTTCAGTAACCCATGCTTGTCGTAAGAGGTGACTAACGGTATCGGGTGGTCAGGCTCGTTGACTTGGTTGACACATCTCATTGCATTCCAGTTGTGTAGAACGATGCTCACGATGTTGATCATTGGATTGCCTGGTCCAGACTCGATTATTTACAGACCGCCTTCATATAGCTTGAATACTGCTGAGTGCGGCGTTAAACAACCAACCAACCAAACACACGATTTTCATTCTCAGCTCTCAGTACACAAGACTGGGAGTCACCATCGGATCCTAAATCTGTGTATACACATTAATACTACTGAAATCCTGTTCTGTTGTTAAACTGAGGCTATTTTGTTTGGTTGTAGATCCTGTGTATGTTACCACCCTTTGACGAGACAGCGTTCTCAGCACCGACCACAACTACACAGTCACCACACAAAACAGGAAGGAGGTGTGGTCATGTGTGAACATGTGTTTACAATCAGCAGATTTCACTGGAGACACGAGGTGTTCAAGAAACCGTGGAGCCAAAGACTTACATGCCATTTGATAGTGATTCATAAACACATGCTCTGCCATCGTATCCCAAGGTGACAATCACTGGATGATCTGATCCAGACTCGCTTATTTATAGACCGCCGCTATAAAGTTGGATTATTGCTGAGTGTGGCCTTAAGCAACAAACACACACACACACAGACACTAGAATTGTAAGGTAAATATTTACACATGTGTTTTTGTTCGTGCATATGAAACATACAAAATACGATGACGTTTGATACGGGTCACATTTAGAACTCTGACTCCCCACTATAAGTAGCTGTTTGACGCCTCTGAATTTTCAACTCAGTTGCCATGGTTGCTCTGTTGAACATGTGTATAGTTGTGTCATCCATTTTAGGATACGCTTCAACAAACATTGTTCGTCAATACAAAGTATGTTAAGTATCATGACTTTGAAATATCCTGAAATATCCAGCTCGAGATTGGCATGGTTGCCATGGATACATGGATGTTTCCCAAATTTAGACCAACTTCTCAACCGTTATCGGAGTTACATTATCAGTCCGATACGGGATAATTTGATGCTATTTTATTTGATTACAATACGCATGACATGTAAATACTAGAGAGTAACGGATTTAATTTCAACGGTTCACCATCAGTTGAAGATACAACCAAAAATCTGCTCCATCTATCCGAAGATCTAAATTATAAATTGTGATGCTATCCTTCTCAGAGGACAAACACTCATCCAATGCTCGTTTGTGATTTTTTTGTGTTGAGCCATGGTTAATTTGAAAAAAGTTCGCCATCTCAGCTCCCCACCCACCACGGAGTATCACAAGGACAATGCTATATATACCAGTGAGTCTCCGACTGGCAGCACCGGGGATACTGATTGATGGTATACTCCAGCAGACGAATAATTGAAATTAATCAATCCAACAGATTGGCCCATGAGCCACCACCTTCTGGGCATAGGACTCTAGGCATATTTAACATTTGTTGAAATTTTAAACCAATACACATTCAGTGAAATAATTTTACCAATACCCAAACCAGGATCATTTACAAAAATCACATTTGTGCAATATGAAATACAATGAACAGGGCATGGCATGACCAGCCGATTGTTTGAACCGGGCCCATTCAACCACTCGTCCAGGTGAAGTAAGGGGCGAAGTGGTGTGTTGGGCAAAGGAACACTGTGTCCTGGAACCAGTGCCCTCAACCACCAGACTCCCGTCCGGGTTCACACGGGGGATTGAAGAGCTCTTAGCTTTATCCAGCACCCACCACGAGGAGGTGGCTCTTCACGGGTGCCATGTCGATTAAAAGTAGATGTTTACAAGAGAGATTTTTAATGGGCTGAAGGAACAAAAGCGAGTCTGAATATATTATACACTGTATATATTTGGGACGTTTAGTAATATATCTTAGAGGTGTGAGCATTGCGTTTGCTTCTACTGTGAATATTGAGCTGTCATCTGGCAATCTAGATGATATTGTTCTGGATCCAATGACAGTGGCACAAACCACTGCGCCACCATCCTTGGATCCATCTGTAAAGAAGGATTTGTAAGTATTATATTTAATTTTTAATTGATTAAATCTTGTTTATATTGTAATTCATTAGTTTCTGATTTTTTTAAGTGTTGTCGGTGTTAGGTCAACTCTTGGCCTCACTAATTGCCAAGGAGGAGAAGAAAGAAAGCGAGAAGGAGATATATTTTCGAGCTCAATGCCAGCAGCGAAAAGGAAAGGTTTACATGTATTCCGAGAGGTGGAATTAGTGAAGATTTTTTTAATCATATAGGGGATTAAAAACACATGTGTATGCAGGGTTGCACTCATTTGCTTTGTAGTTTTGTAACATACTGAAAAGATAGTTTGATACGGCGTTGTTTTAAAGAAGGTTCGTACCGTACTACGCTTTAACGTCAAGACTGTCAATAGGAGACGTTCTGAAGGATCCAAGACAAAGTCTAAGACCTTGATGGTGGATAGAATAAAGTATTTTGAGGCTGCTTTTACAAGTTCCACCATATACAATGGAACCGTAATCAAGTTTTGATCGGATGAATGATCTGTAAAATACCATTAATACATAGCCTTGTGTATTCACACCACCATTTACTATTTTTTAATCACAACTGATCCTGATTATTTTACCGCGACAAGAAATATCATCCAGATGGCATAGCTGTTGATGGACCCAATGTGACAGACAAAATACGCCGACACCCTGATTGATCATTATCGCAAGGCGAATGGCAAACTGGCACACACACAGAGAGGTGTCTTTTGATTTTATCCATTTCAATGTTAATGTCAATAACGGGTATGGCCTCTCCGTGACTGAATGACAGCTTTGCATCGACGGTTCATGCTGTCAATAAGAACCCGGATGCTCGCCATTGGAACGTTATTCCATTCCTCGACCATGGCATTTCCGACTTCTTCTTGCGTCCTGGATTGTGCCTGACGTCCAGAAATGGCGACCTGCAGCGTGTTATACACATGTTCAATAGGGTTTAGGTCCAGCGAGCGCACGGGTCATTCAATACGGGCAATTGTTTTCTCTTCCAGATTCTGGTCCTCCACCCAAGCACAATCATAGTTTCACATCGCTATTATTGGTTTATATTACAAGGGGGTATGCACATCAAATGAAACACCGAGAACGACAAGGGTTGTTATAAGTTAATGCTCTTCACGTACCGCACGTGCATTTGTTTCACTGTTATAACTACTGCGCTTACCCTATTGTAATACAAACCAATAATAGTGATTTGAATCTATGATCGTTTGTTAAACAACTTTTATCCGAAGTTGCATCCTTTTGTGGGTTGGTGTAATTAGACAGAGAATTGTTACGTTGCACCCAGATGTGGGGGGTTGTCATTGGATAGAGAGTGGCGCGTTGCAGCCAGATATGGATGTTTATAATTAGACAGAGAATTGTGACGTTCCACCCAGATGTGCGTGTTTGTAATTGGACAGAGAATTGTGGCGTTGCACCCAGATGTGGATGTTTGTAATTGGACAGAGAATTGTGGCGTTGCACCCAGATGTGGGTGTTTGTAATTGAACAGAGAATTGTGGCATTGAACCCAGATGTTAATGTTTGTAATTGGACAGAGAATTGTGGCGTTGCACCCATATGTGGATGTTTGTAATTAGACAGAGAATTGTGGCGTTCCACCCAGATGTGGGTGTTTGTCATTGGATAGAGAGTGGTGGCGTTGCACCCAGATGTGGATGTTTGTAATTAGACAGAGAATTGTGACGTTCCACCCAGATGTGGGTGTTTGTAATTGGACAGAGAATTGTGGCGTTGCACCCAGATGTTGATGTTTGTAATTGGACAGAGAGTGCTGGCATTGACCCAGATGTGGATGTTTGTAATTGGACAGAGAACATTGGCGTTGCACACATATGTGGATGTTTGTAATTGGACAGAGAGTGGTGGTGTTGCACCCGGATGTGGATGTTTGTAATTGGACAGAGAATTGTGACGTTGCACCCAGATGTGCGTGTTTGTAATTGGACAGAGAATTGTGGCGTTGCACACATATGTGGATGTTTGTAATTGTGGATGTTTGTAATTGGACAGACAGTGGTGGCGTTGCACCCATATGTGGATGTTTGTAATTGGACAGAGAGTGGTGGTGTTGCACCAAGATGTGGATGTTTGTAATTGGACAGAGAGTGGTGGCGTTGCACCCATATGTGGATGTTTGTAATTGGACAGAGAATTGTGGCGTTGCACCCAGATGTTGATGTTTGTAATTGGACAGAGAGTGCTGACATTGCACCCAGATGTTAATGTTTGTAATTGGACAGAGAACTGTGGCGTTGCACACATATGTGGATGTTTGTAATTGGACAGAGAGTGGTGGTGTTGCACCCAGATGTGGATGTTTGTAATTGGACAGAGAATTGTGACGTTGCACCCAGATGTGCGTGTTTGTAATTGGACAGAGAATTGTGGCGTTGCACACATATGTGGATGTTTGTAATTGGACAGACAGTGGTGGCGTTGCACCCATATGTGGATGTTTGTAATTGGACAGAGAGTGGTGGTGTTGCACCAAGATGTGAATGTTTGTAATTGGACAGAGAGTGGTGGCGTGGCACCCAGATGTGGATGTTTGTAATTAGACAGAGAATTGTGACGTTCCACCTAGATGTGAATGTTTGTAATTGGACAGAGAGTGGTGGTGTTGCACCCAGATGTTGATGTTTGTAATTGGACAGAGAATTGTGGCGTTGCACCCAGATGTGGATGTTTGTAATTGGACAGAGAATTGTGACGTTGCACCCATATGTGGATGTTTGTAATTGGACAGTGAGTGGTGGCGTTGCACCCATATGTGGGTGTTTGTAATTGGACAGAGAGTGGTGGCGTGGCACCCAGATGTGGGTGTTTGTACGAAGATCGCCATTCTGAACCTTTTCCGTGCAGGATTACTTAGTCATCATTTGGTACTTTTTTGTACGAACATTCAAGTAGTGATCATACCAGGTGATTGCAAAAGGTGGGTGTGTCCTTCCCCAACGCTCGCACACATCACAAACACAAACAAAGGCAAGCAGGGGTTCACTGATAGAAACATAGATCAAGATACATTAATGGATTACAACTTCTTTATTCTTTGTAATAAAGTTTCAACGTTTTGAGTATATAATGTGTGACCACATGACCGTAAACCAAGATTGATACATGTCCATATTAGTACTGATTAAACTATACAATATTATTTTAAAAAAGTAGACTTTGACGAATTTTATCTATATCCCACATTTAAAGTATATATTTACTTCAAGCCAAAACCTTGTGATAACAGAAAAATATATACGGATTTACGATTGTTTTCTTTTGCTATTTCGGTTGCATTCAATCCATGACTATTTTCAGCTTTAATATCCACAATCCTATTTTCAAGGATATGTTTAACAAGATCGACATTTTCTCCTTTAACAGCCAAATGAAGGATATTGTTGCCATCATCATCTACAAGAAGCATATCGGCTCCCTGCTTCATAAGTAGCTCAAACACGCCTCTGTTTCCACGTGCTGCTGCGATCAGGACTGGTGTCCTGTCCAAATATCCTCTACTATCGATGTCTACAATGTTATTGGACAGGAGGTACTTCACTATGTCCACGGTCTCTTCACAGGCCAAATGGAGGATGGAGTTGCCATCGTCATCTATTAGCGTCAGATCAGCACCGTTCTTCACAAGTACATCAAACACTTCCTTGTAACCACAACATGCTGCAGTCATCACTGGTGTCCTGTACCGCACACCTCTTTTGTTGATGTTCCGCACAATGCTCTTCTTTTTCAAGACATGATTCACTAAATCCACTTGTCCAACTAGACTGAGCTTATGAAGAATGTTCTCACCGCTATCATCCACTACTGACAGATCAGCTCCTTTACTCTCCAGCAATTCAATTATATCTCCGTATCCGTAATCTGCTGCCAATAACACTGGTGTCATACCCTCGCTGTCTCTGTCATTGATGTTCACAGCATTCTCTGTGAGGATATATTTCACTATTTCGCTATGTCCTTTTTCTACAGGCCATATGTAGTATGTTCTGTTTATCATCATTCACTAATGACAGATTGGCTCCTTTTCTAACAATGAAGTCAAATATTTCTACCTGTCCCCCCCTCTGCTGCTAACATAACTGCTGTCATCCCGTGGATGTTTCTACTGTCGATCTCTACAAAATCATTTGTGAGGACATATTTCACTGTATCCATATGTTTGCTCTGTAAAGCAACATGGAGAATATTGTCCTTATCCTCAGTGAGAAAGGTCAGATCAGCTCCTTCACTTACAAGCAATTTCAACACTTCTATATGGCCCGCATGGGCTGCTTCCATTGCTGGGGACGATCCATCATCTGATCGACTGTTGATTTTCACGATATTCTGGGCAAGGACATACTTAACTAGCTCCATATTTCCTCCCTGGCAGGTCCTGTGAAGAATATTGTTTCTATGTTTATCCGCGTGTGACAAATCAGCTCCATTTTGCAGAAGAAAGTCGAACATGTCCTTTCGTCCCTCAGAGGCTGCTAACATTACGGGTGTCATTCCCTCTTTCCCAATATCATTGACATCCATACTGAAGTTCGTGAGAGTGGATTTAATTATTTCCATATTTCCCCCTTTACACGCAATATGAAGGATGCTGTTCTGGTTACTGTCCCTGATTAACAAATCAGCATTTTCCCTTACAAGCACGTTAAATACGTCTATATGACCCTTAGATGCAGCCATCATCACTGGCGTGAACATGTCTTCTCCTCTTAGGTTAATAGTAACACTATTCTGTTTGAGCATATATGTTACTATGTCCACATTTCCTCCCTCACAAGCTGCGTGAAGAATACTGTCACCTTCTTCGTCCACCAGAGACAGATCAGCTCCTTCTTTCACTATCAAGTCGAATACATCTTTATGTCCTTTGATGGCTGCTTTCATTGCTGGCGTCCAGTCGTTTTCTCCCAAGCTGTTGATGTTCACAGTGTTCCGCGTAAGAATGTGTTTCACGATATCCAAATTTCCTCCTTCGCAGGCCATATGAAGTATAGTATTTCTATCACCATCCACGAGGGATAGATCAGCTCCTTTTGTCACAAGTAGGTCAAACACATGCTTATGTCCCTTGACTGCTGCTTTCATGGCTGGCGTCCTGTCTTGCCCTCCAAGGCTGTTGATGTCCACAGTGTCCTGCACAAGGACAGTCTCTATTATATCAAGGTTTCCTCCCTCACAGGCAAGATGTAGAATCGTATTGCTCTCAGCATCGACAAGAGACAGATCAGCACCTTTTCTTACAAGGAAGTCGAACACATGTTTGTGTGCTTTCTCTGCTGCAATCATCACCGGTGTCTTTCTCTGTAGACCTCTGACATTGATTTCCACACGACCATCAAATATGATGCATTTGACTCGGTTTATGTCTCCATCCATACAGGCACCAACGAGTTTGGTGTTTAAATGGATCAGGTATTGTTGGTTGGTAATCTTTCCTGTGAGAATATATATAAATGTGTTAAGACATTTTAAGATTCAAATGGTTTTATTAGTAAATTGGACATGTATTGTCTACTATCAAATGATTTTCAGCCTCTGTTGTAAACAAGTATGCTTACATCAAGAAACCAAACAATAAAGTGATTAGGGACGTTTGGCAACATTTTACGTGCGTCAAATGCTATAAAGAGTTGCTCCTGTTTATCTTATTGCTAACACTTGTCATAATATATGTTTAAATTCCTTCACTGTTTGCATCAGGTGGATGGATAGTCGAAGTGATGACGTATTCTCTTCCCATGTCATTTCACTCATTCCTGAAGCGACCGCCTCCGTGGTGTAGTGGTTAGAGCGTCCGCCCAGAGTGCGGAAGGTCGCGGGTTCGATCCCCGACCGCGTCTAGCAAAAGATGTTAAAATATGGTACTTGTTGGTCCCTGCCTGGCGCTCGGCATTAATGGGTACAACAAGGACTGGTCTGCTCGGAGTATAATGTGTCTGAGTTGGGTATTCACTCTTCACTGCAGCATGGTATCTCAGTGGGCTAGCACTATGAAACCAGCTGAAGTCTCGGCTAGTACAAGCAGCCGCACATACACATACACACGCATGCACGTCGTCATATGAGCGAAATATTCTCAAGCACGACGTTAAGCACGACGTTAAACCCAATTCCACCACCACCACCACCATTCCTGAAGCGAAACACAGGTCTGTCTAGCATATATTCCAGTATTAATACAAAAGGGACAGACACAGTAATTTACGGATAAACTCAAACCAGTAGGTCACATCTTCCTGGTGTTTTTTCCGCTCTCACTACATCAGACTAGAATTTGCCAGTCAGGTAGGAAATGAACGAGTTAAGTGCCTCTGCATTGAGTGAACCAAACAGTAATTTACACATAAACTGAAACCATAAGGTCAGATGTTCCTGTGTGTTTTTCACGCTCCCACGATATCAGGCTAGAATCTAGCAGTCAGATAGAAATTAGACGAGTTCAGTGCCGTTCAAACAATTCCAATTAGATCCTTCAGTACAATGAGTGAGTGAGTTAAAATTTATGTTCACATCGGCAATATTTCAGCCATATCGTGATGAGAACAATTAATTTTATACATAGTAAGTAATTGTAAATTGTAAAAACCTGTCAACGAAGGACAGTAAAATAACTAGATTATCACAGATTCGAATTTAAAACTAGTAATTAAACCTAAAACAGTTTAACTATCCTTCAGTACAGAAAGGACCTTGTCCTGATTTGTAGTATCAAAGGTTTCGTTCAGATCTGTCAGTGCAGGGGTTAGAATTGATCTTCAGCAACCCATACTTCTAGAAAGAGGCGACTAACGAGATCGGGTATTCAGACTCGCTGACGTGGTCGACACATGTCATTGTATCCCAATTGCATAGATCGATGCTCATGATGTTGATTACTGGATTGTCTGGTCCAGAATCGATTATTTACCTACCCCCGCCATATAGCTACAATATTTCAACAACCAAACCAAACCAAACCCTTCAATTGTGATGTGCTGAAACTGTAGAACTAGTAGCTGATCACAGATTTAATACTATTTGAAGAACATTGAAAATATTGAATAACAAACAAATGGCAATACTGAAAATAGGCCAACTTAGAGTAGGTCTAGTATTACATACGTTCTTGGAGGAGCGTAATTCATAAATTACCTTTGACACATACATCTCTTCCAGAACGGGTTTGCAGGCATCTCCTATCTTGACATGTCTCAGATGAACAGGGGCCAGCTTGAATCTGAAGACAAACGTAATAGAGGGCATAATAGACGGTATGATACTGACGACTTCTTTCGTTTGGCACGACAGAACATCAAATCTACTTACACTTGTGTTTGGCTTTGGTATGAAAGTTATATGTCCACATTCTTCTCTATAGTCCAGTCTCAGTTTCAGCACGTGACACATGAGGCTGACCACATCATACCCGATGCTCCAACAGTAGCCTCTGGCTGCACATTTGAGACTGCACATGTTCACACCTAGCATTGTGAAGTGTTCTTCCTCGTGAACGTCTATGATGACGTTTTTTATATTGCAATATTTCCCCAGAGCAACAGTATTCACTGAGGACAATAGAATGTACACTCGCATCAAGTACATGATCCCTGTGCTATATGATATAATGTATAGTTCATCAATTACACTTGATCATGAAACCATCAAAGGAGACCTGTGCTTTTTACTGGAATGGCTGTCGTTTTACACCGATTTTTTTATATCTTAAATGATCTAAATTTTTTATCAATCTCATGTATCCATTTATCATGAAGTTTAAATGAACCTTTATCTTGCAACTGATAATATCAAAATATATTCGATACTTATCGGTTGTACTAATGATATATTTATGTGTGACTTGTCTTCAACTCACATATTGCCATGGACAGTCGGTCTATCTGCCAATGATTGCCATCTCCTTTATGGTATCTTTTAAGTGCTTCTTTTTTATGTTGCCCGTGAGCAAGCAAGTGCATTTTGCCTTCTTTGATGGGCATTTTAGAAGTTGAGTTGATGAAGAATGATGACAATTTTATGAATATACAACTTCTTTTATTGTGAAAGGCGATGTTTCGACATAGATTCTAATGTCGTTGTCAAGCAAGTTGTCATTCTTCAAGTGAGTTATGTTGGTTTAAGAGAATTTATTATGTCATCTCGTAAGTTACAAAGAAAATATGTGAACATAATGCACAACAAGGGATCTACAAGCCTTATAATTGTTGTTTTTTGTGCACTTCCGAATGGACTGTCATAAGACACAGGTCAGTTGATAGAGTGACAGTGTGTGTACAGGTTGTAAGCTGGTTGAGAGTGCATATGGAATGAGAGTGGAGTATGGGAATGTAATGAGGGCCAGATAGTGGCATTTGCCTAAGAGCCAAAATTCACGACGCTATAAGGACAATTGGGGTAGAGTAGTGGTTAAAGCGTTCGCTTGTCAAGCTGAACGCCCGGGTTTCCGATATAGATACAATGTGTGAGGCCCATTTGTGGAGTTCCCCGCTGGAATAGTGCTCAAGGAAACTGAAATATTGCGTGCCTAATTTCACAACTATGACTCCTAAATTTGTTCAAGAAGTTCAAATCTGATTGTCTGGACAGCATCACTGAAAACCAATCGTATTGCTCTTATGCAGGCGTTTCTTAAAAAATAACAGTCCTCCTATTCCAGTTATGCGTATAACTAGGTATAACTAGGTATAACAGTCAGAAGGCTGACAGGTTGGTCGAACAGCTGTATAATGGAAGCAGTTCTGAAAGTTATTTTTGCGGATTCAAAATGTCAAAGGATCATATGTTTATTTAAGTACCTATGGATGATGTTACTTCAGGTTCAAATACACCATTTACATATGATGTCCTTAAGCTGGCAACTTTCAGAGCTCACAACACTGAGCGGATAATTTATATTATGAGCATATCCTGATTCTTCTTTTGCGAGCTTTTGGAAATGTGAACTCAGTCTGAATCTACCAATCGCTCGGATGAATGATGGAGAATGTACACCTGTACCAAAGCCAAGAAAAGTCCCCCTCACTACTAGCATTGTATCAGTCAAGTGGAGAATTAGATATGGGTCATTTAACTGCTGTACAACATCACATTGAATTTGTGGATGGAACTCCTTTTCAAAAGAGGCATTGACGTATTCCTCTATTCAAGTTTCAGGAGGTTAAAGATCCTCTTAAACAGATGCTAGCCTGTGGAGCTATACGTAGATTCTATAGTCCTGGGCCCAGTTCGTCAAAGCGATCGTAACCTTAACACTATACTTTGACACAGACTTACGCCAGTCGTAGCGCTACAATCGCTTTGTGGAACGGGGCCCTGGGCCTCCAGTGTAGTCCTTTCTAGAAAGACGAATGGAAAAATTAAAATGTGCGTGCACTTTAAAAAGGTTAACAAATCCGCTGTAAACGGCAGTTTTGTTTTACCTAAGACAGAGGAAATTTTACATTATCTAGCTGGCAGTAAGTTTTACATTAAATCAGACCTAAAATCTGGATATCATCAGGTTGAACTTGCAGAAGAACTTGAGGAGTGCACCACATCAAGCACTGAACACTTTGGGCACTATTTACTCCTTTTCAAATTATACATTGGGCAAACAACCAAAAAGTGAATAACATCTTCAACCACATTATCATTTCAATTCTTACAGAAACACAAACATTTATCTATACCAATGGTTGTTTGAATAGGTAGCTCGTCTAATCTAAGCAAACATAAATATCTCCTAAACTCCCAATTTCTAATATTCATGATATAATATTCTATATCAAAACACGATGTTAACTGGAGATAATATTTGAACCTATCAGATGTACTTATGTTATTAAAAATTACCTGTATATTACATTCACGTATGCGTTGCTTAAAAAGCACTAAAAACATATCCCCATTACCCCTATCCTGAAACAACCACACATCACCAATTCCGAAACTGAAAAGTAATTGCCTTACACCACTTGCCCATGTTGTCCTGCCAGATTCATCGAGTTGTTTCATTAAAAGATAACACTGCCTCGGATACCTACTATTATCCATCCTCAAAAGTTTGCACCAATACTTAACACATTTAACATGATAATCTATATACAATTGATGTCTACCACAATCCGCCAAAACAGCATTACTAGAATAATATTTCCTAACCCCTAGAACAAACTTACAGAAATTAGTATAAATGATTCTAGCCCTGGATATCAATCCCCAAACCTCGGCACCATACTATAACACAGGTTTACTTTTAATGTCAAACAATTTACATGAAATATTAGCTGGCAATCCTGGGAACTTAAAAAGTAACTTTTTGATGAAAAATAGAGCTTTATTACCTTTAATAGCTAACGTATCTACACACTTTGACCAACCGCATCTGTGGTGTAGTGGTT